TGCCCGATTCCCTGCGGCTGCAGCTGGGAAAACTGACGTCGCACAGGCTGCAGTAAATCCATTGGAGACAGCTAGTAAATCGACGAAGGGTTCTGCAGCTGCTAAGTCGCGTCGGAGGTTGCACTAATTGTGATTGTGATTTTTGTTTCTCGTAATTTGATTTCTTTTTTTATTGTTTTTTGTTCTTTGTGTTTAAATTAATTTTTGCTCTATATGTAGGTATTTCTATCTTATTTCTGTGGTAGGTAACATAGCACCTTCTTTATAGAAGTTAATTTTTTCTTGTTAAATTTAAATTTACTCTATCAAACCTCAGCTGTCAACTGACAATGAATTTAGCTTTATTATTTTTTGGCTACGGCCTCTTGTATTATGTTGCTTTGTTCATGGTTATATTTTATTTCTACGGCGAGTGCTGATGGTTCGGTGTTGTTTTAGTTATAGTTTGTACGTTGGTTTTTTTTTATATACTATATTTTTATGTATTATTACTCATATATTTATAAAATTTAATATTATATTTTATTTTTGTGTTAATTAATATGGATGTTACTTTAGGGATAAATGATAGTTTTTACTCGTGCTCCTCATCTCCAAGCCATTTTCTTAGTGCTGATGACAGTAATGATTCCATCGCTTTGACTCTGCATGATCAGTTATCTTCAGCCTTCTGCAATTTCCCCAAAAATTTCAATGTTGTTCATATCAATGCTCAAAGCGTCCCCTCTCACTATTCTGACCTCCTTGCTTCTTTCATAGATTCTCCTGTTGACGCTATTCTTATATCAGAAACTTTTCTAAAGCCTTCTCTTCCTTCTACTCATTTCAGTCTTCCCGGATTTAAGCTCGTTCGGAATGACCGGACGGGTAAAAGTGGTGGAGGGGTGGCAGTATATCTGCGAGCTGATATTCAACATGTTGTTGATGCTTCTCCTAACTTGTATTCTAACTCCGCGGAGCACCTATTTTTAAACATTTCCGTGCATCACAAGAAAGTGCTCCTTGCAGTTTTTTATAGCCCCTCCCTTAATATCGACTACTTTCAGTCCCTTGAGTGTCTACTCTCCGACCATTCTCCTTCCTTTGATCACACTATTTTAATGGGTGACTTTAACACGTGTTTACTAAAAAATGACACTCGTGCCCATAAATTACTTTCTCTAATTTCTTCTGTCAACTTGCATATTTTACCTTTGTCTGCTACTCATCATTTTGCCAACTGCACTCCATCTCTTCTTGATCTTATGATAGTCTCGTCCCCTGAGCATTGTGCTTCCCATGGACAGTTCTCTTCTGTATTTTCTTATCATGACCTTGTCTTTCTCTCGTATAAAATTCGTTTTCCTAAGTGTAAGTCGAAATTTCGTATTCTCCGAAATTTCAAGGCCATTGATTTGGAGGCGCTCAAGAGTGAGGCGGGTAATATTGACTGGACTCCTGTGTTGGACTTGGTTGGAGATGCTAAGAGACGGCACATTCACGATAACGTTGAGAAATGCGATTCCACTCAGATCTGGAAATTCCTAAAGTCCATTGGGATTGGTCGTACCATTGCTTCTGGTGATTCGTCCCTTCCTGATCTTAACGCGCTTAATAGACATTTTTCCCTACCCCCTGTTACTTTAGATAAGCATCGTAAAAGCGCTACCCTTCGCATTTTGGCTGACTATACTTTACCGTACATGTACCTCTTTCTCCTTCCGGACTGTTGCCGAATGTGAGGTCAAAACCCATATTCTCTCTATTTCTTCTACTGCTGTTGGCAATGATGATCTCAGTTCCCGTATGATTAGCCTCATACTCCCTGAACTTGTCCCTATCCTCACTCATGTTTTTAACTTCTCTTTACAAGCTAGTTCTTTCCCTTCTCATTGGAAACTCGCCCATGTTATACCTTTACCCAAAACGTCTAACCCTACTTGCCTTTCCGAATTCCGTCCCATCTCCATTCTCCCATTTCTATCCAAAGTCCTCGAACACATTGTCAACAAGCAGTTAATGTTGTATCTTTCTTCTAATAAGTTGCTTTCCCCGTTTCAGTCAGGTTTTCGTTCTGGCCATAGCACTGTGACTGCACTGTTGAAGGTAACAGATGATATTCGCCTCGCAATGGACAATGGTCTTCTCACTTTGCTTATACTTCTGGACTTCAGCAGTGCTTTCAACTCTGTGGACTTTGACGTATTGCTTGCTTCCCTTCGCTCTTTTAATATTTCTCCTTCGGTTATAGCTTGGTTCGACTCCTACCTCAGAGGCCGCTCGCAGTGTATTCGCTCTGACGAGGCTTCCTCTGATTGGTGTGACTTAGTTGCTGGCGTTCCTCAGGGTGGTGTTCTTTCCCCTCTCCTTTTCTCTGTTTTCATCAATTCTGTCACTTTTGTGCTGTCTTCAAACTTTCATCTCTATGCTGACGATTTGCAGCTATACCGCAGTTTTAAAGCGTCTGATGTCGTTGCAGCCGTTGAAGCGGTTAATGCTGATTTACGATGCATCGCTCATTGGGCTGAGTGTTTTGGTTTGTTGGTGAATCCCAAAAAGTCACAGGCTATGATTGTGGGAAGTGGGTATATGCGTGGCTTATTGCATCTAGATTCTGTCCCACCTATAGCGTATAATTCCACGCCTATTGCTTATGCTTCTACTGCAACTAATCTTGGCTTGCTTTTAGATTGTAATTTGGTTTGGACTCCACATATTAATGAAGTCAGTCGTAAAGTCCATTTCTCCTTGCACTCACTTAAGCGCCTCCAAAACGATTTACCTTTAAAAACCAAAATATGTTTAGTCCAAACACTTATTTTGCCCTTCTTAGACTATGCTGATTCCTGCTATTTGGATGCTACTGAAGAACTGCTAAATAAGCTTGAACGACTGCAAAACCTATGTATAAGGTTCATCTTTGGGCTTCGTAAATATGACCGAATTTCACATTTCCGCAGTCAGCTCAAATGGCTTCCCATCCGTCTCCGCAGGAATTTGCATATTGTCTCCATTCTTTACAATATTTTACATAACCCTGTGTCTCCCGGGTACCTGAAAGAGCGTTTCAGCTTCCTTAGGTCCCAGGATAAACCCTGTCGCTCTCTTGTTAGGTCCCAGTTATCTTTTCCATGCTTCAATTCCGGTTTCTATTCTCACTCCTTCACTGTTCATGCGGTCAGACTTTGGAATGCACTTCCTATTACTGTTCACGAAAGTAAATCGTTAGCTATTTTTAAAGTGAGAATTAAAGAGCATTATTTATCTACTATTCCATCCATATCTTAGGTATTATATTATAAAATATGTATTTATCTAAGTATTTATATAATTTATAACAATTTAATATTTTTATATTATTTTTATATTTTTTTATTTTTTTTTTGTTTTGTTGTGCACATATGCCCGTTCTTTTAGTTATAGTGTCCTGTATTTAGGTCTGCAGGAAGAAATTTCTAGTAGAAATAAGCAGAACCTTTTGTTTTTAATTTCGCTTGTATTCTTTGTGACTTGTTGTATTTTTCCTGTACAATAAACTATTAAATAAAATAAATAAATAAATACATATTGTTACAAAATTTTAATTCTTAAATAGTCCCAAAGTTTTCTCTCATCACATTTCAGTTTTTTTTTTTGTAAATATGAATGCACATTTGACCTCCATCTCACCTGATGGAAAGTGACGATGAGGTCGACGATGGAGCATGCACACCTAAATAATGCCTATTCACTCTCGTCTTGAAAAGGCCTAAGTTATAACGTTCAGTTCAGTTTAGAAGTAAAGCACGCCTGCCAGGGGTATGACGCAAAGAAATGGCACATTTCATCCCAATCTGCTAACTTGTATCGTCCACACACCCGTCTCACACCACTAGGGCCCTGATCGGGTGGGGAGTTCATCTATAAACTTTAACATAATCCTAATGGAATTCTTTTTAATAACATTGGATGTACCCAAAACTTTCTTTTCTTCGTTTGCTTCCTCTTCCGCCATTTAAAAAAGTAATACATTATTATAATTTCATCTTCATCCATTTCACACGGAAGCGAAAACACACTACTGGCTTCCAAAAGAACATAGAAGCAACTGCAGTGCATCAAACGACTCTGTCATATAAACGACAAGGCGGTTGCCGTGAAAAGATAAATTGCCGTCACGATCTAGTGGGAACAGCTAGACACGATAGTCGTTCAACGATAAAATAATCGTCCACGACACAGCCACGACAGATAGTAGTGATATGGGAACAGCTTAGCGCGACAGTCGTGCAACGATAAATAAAACGTCACGACATAGTGGGAACGCGTCCTTAGACAACATCGCATACGTTGCTCTGACCCCAAAGTAACTAAAGCACTTGTGTTATGGAAATCGGAAACAACGAGGGTACCACAAACACTCAGACCCGAGACAATATAGAAAAGTCAGTTTTCTACACTGACCCGGAAGGGAATCCAACCCGGGACCTCAGAAATGGCAATTCCATGAAAATCGGTTTGCAAGGCACTCGATCACGGAGGTCGTCAAAAATACAACACATTTTGGATGCAGAAGTGAAATTTAATATAAAACTAAAACTTTATAAACTTCCTACAGAGTTATTTAACATACAATATCTATTTTATCTGCAAATAATTCTAATACGTAATTTCGAAATAATGTGTTCGTTTGATCCCTTGTTGTATCGTTATTACTAAAGATTTAGTTATGAAATTAATGTATAAGATACTAAAATCAATTAGCGCTCTCTTAATATAAACTGAGACTTAACAAAGTTTTATATATTTTTACTCTACGAATGTCATATTTATACTCCTTTCCTGCTCCGTAAGACACGCGCTGGCCTTCGTAGTCACCGTGTTACAACTTGCCGTATTCCATCGCGGACAAAAAGGTTTGGTGGCATCTTTCTCTGTCGCACAGTCGACAAATGTATCCCCTAGCAGCGCACGTATTCCCTCCTTATGATATGGGGTCCTTCAAACGAGGCGTGAAGAGGCATTTTGTAGGCATGCAGGGTGGAGGTGGCTAGGGCAGTTATAGTATCAACACTACACTAGGTACCTTCACGTTTAGATTTCACTTTCCATTTAACATCAGGTGGAGTGGTATCATCTGCCTGCCGTGTGTAAAAAAAAACTAAATGCAACGGAGCGTTTAACGTTACAATTTTGGATATTTCTAGTTTTATTTAAAAAATCTTACAAATGTCGTTTTTTCATTAGGGTAACGTACGTTCGATATCAATTTAAAGTTTTTCATATCTCTTATATGTGTTTGTTATAATTATTAATTCAAAGATCGAAAACTCAGGAAAAATTCCTTCGATCCTGCCGGATTCGAACCGACGTCTTCTGGCATACCATGCCAGACGCTATACCAACTAAACCACGGAACGAACCAGCGGATCTCACGAATTTTTGTATGTGCTTGTTGTCGAGTCTTTGTATTTGGTTTTTTGAACTAGTTTTTTGGAACTAGTGGAGTAATTTCACATAAAAAATAATTGAGTATCAATTCAATAAAAATTAAGTTTAGGTTTTTTTAGTAATAATTATAATAGCTTTTTTATGAAACATACTACATCATAGTCTTTCTTGAGGATTATAACTGTTAAGTAAACTAATGACTACTGATATATGTTTAAAAACAAAACGTTATTTAAAATTTAAAGACACAATTTAATGATAACCATTGGTGATCAATTTAATAAACTCACCTTAAGTGAGTTTATCAAAATTAATATTAAAATTATTTTATTATAACAATTTTGTTACTGAGTTTATTGTATCATTTACCGCGTCATGCGTCCTTCCCCTCAAAACTGTTAAAGACACACGGTGTCCCTAAGAATTTTGGTACGGTAGCGTCCTAGAGCCACACGGTACGCGCTGCTGTTTTCATCCACCATAAAAAAAAATATTCAAAAAAATCTAAATTAAAATTTTTGAGTTATTGGATGTCAATTTTGTGAAATTACTCCACTAGTTTGTCTTACATAATAAAACAAAGATCGAATGCTTACAAAAAATCCTTTGATCCGGCAGGATTTGAACAAATGTCTTCCAGCAAACCGTGCCAGAAGCTATGCCAACTAGGCCATGGAATTAACTAGCGGATCTTTGTGCTTGTAGCAGATCTTTGTTTTTTGTTTGTAACGATTTTTTTGCCGTAGCGCCATCTGTGAGAAATCTTTTTTACAAAAAGTCGTTAATTACTTATTATCCATGTTAATATTTTGTCAAGAGTTACGATCTAAGGGCTTGTTTATATGTATAAGTTAGTATTAATTTTATAAATAAACCTTTCGGTAACAGGAACAGGATAATCACCCGTCAGATGGTAATGAGGATGATAACACAGAAAAGAGTTGGTTGGAAAAGTTTGGACATGGGATTTGTCAGGTATATATGAACTGAAATGAAATATTATTTATTCGCAAGCAAACACGGTAACAAAAGATATTATACATTAAGTGTCATGAACACGTGTTGCACCAGGTACTGGCGCAACAAATGGGTCGTTTTCAGATAACCGCCAAAAAAGTGTCCTTTTCAGTAACTTTTATGTTATTATATGAATGCTAAGCATTATTTATTTAATATGATTGCTTGCTTACTTAGTTTGTGTTACACATAAAAAGACTATTTTACTACGTCATAATAATGAATAAAAATTAAAAAGTGGGCAATTTCTCATTCATGGGAGCCTGTCCCACGTCGCTCTAATTTTACGAAAAGAAGAATAAAAATTAAACACTCTTATTAAACACTCTTGGAAATCGCAATATTACCCATCGAGGATAAACGCTAATAACTTACACGTCAAATACATACTGTAACTTTCCAATTTATTTATAAACAAACATATTTTCTCGGGAATACAAAATGTGTTTCAATTTTTCTTATCATTAGTGTCAATTCAACTAAAAGCGTCCACAAAAGTTCATACAGCATCACCTTCACCCTTCGCATACGTGAGAAGGGGCTCCTGTCAGATTGGAGAGTACACAGTGAAGTACTTGGTACTTGGTACTTGGTGTAACGGGCTGGTGTCCGCAACTCGACGACAAGGCGCCTATTTTACGTGTGGTGGGTGCAGGGTCCTACTCGTGCCACCCAAGCTCCTCCAGGAATCTCAGCAGCCTCCTCGGTTTGCTGAAGACTTCGGGGAGCGACCTTGGCACTCCAAGGTACTTTGCCCTGTAGTTGGCCACGCCGGAGCACTGTAGTAGGATGTGCGCAGCCGTTTCCTCCCCCTCCATGCACGCTCTGCATAGAGGGCTGTCTGTGATACCTAAATTGAAAAGGTGTTTATTGTATGGACCATGACCTGTTAGGGCGGCAGTTAGAGTGCGAAGCTCTTGCCTGTTGAGTTTAATTAATATTCGTGATAGACTGGCATTGAGCGTTGGGAGTGCTTCCCTCGCCTGTCTACAAACCGTAAGGGTGGTCCATGTATTATTATGTGAAGTTTTTGTACCTTTGTGTATAGTTGTTCTGGACCATTGGTAGGGGAGGGACACTATGGGTTCTGGTCCTACTGCGTCCGTCTCCGACCCTTTTCTGGCTAGTTCATCTGCTGCGTCATTGCCCCGTGAGCCGCTGTGTCCTTTGATCCACTGTAGAGTTAAGTGGTTTTGTATACATACCTCCATGAGTGCTTGATGGCATTCATAAATGAGCCCTGAGTTTATGTCATAGCTGTTCAGTGCTTGAAGTACTGACATACTATCAGAGAGTATTCGAATGGAGTGGTTCTTTACTCTTCTCGCTATGATTGCTTCTGCCGCCAACTTGATGCCCATGCATTCAGCCTGGAATACTGTGTTGTGGTCACCAAGCGGTGTTGATATCCTGATATTGAGGTCTTCTGAGAATACCCCAGTACCTGTTCCTGAATTTGTTTTAGATCCATCGGTGAAGACGCGGACCTCTTTGGGGTTCAGTCCTTCATTTGGATCTTCAAACAATTGTATCTTGTATTTTTTGTCGAAGATGTATTGTTTTGGGATCCTATCCACAGCCGCCTCCAGTAGCGGTTCCTCATTGACTGTCTTATAAAGGACTTTCTTAGAAAGGATCCTCATGTGCTTCCAAAGGCCGACTCTGTTAAGACGCACTGCTGTTGACGCCGCTTCCTGTCTAATGAACATTGGGAGGGGTCGCAAGTCCAGCATCGCTTCGAGGGCCGCAGTCGGAGTTGTCCTCATGCAGCCGGTCGTTGCCATGCAAGCTAGTCTTTGGAATTTTTCCAGTTTGTCGGTTGCGGTCGTCAGCTTGGTTCGTGGCCACCATACTATCGCGCCGTAACTGATCATGAGTCTTATCACTGCTGTGTAGAGCCATAGTGTTATTTTGGGTGAGAGTCCCCATTGTTTACCTACCATTCTATGGCACTGCCAGAAGGTGATAGTGGCTTTTTTAATTTTGTTGTCCATATGCTTGTTCCAATTCAACTTGTTGTCCAGTATTACTCCCAAGTACTCGACTTCGGTTGATATCTGTAGTTCTGTACTGAAGAGTTTGGGTAGTAGGTAGTTACCCAGTAGTCTTTTGTTTGTAAACATTACTAGTTCCGTCTTTGTTGGGTTTACCGATAGTTCATATGCCCTGCACCATCTTTCCACAATCCGGAGTGCAGCTTGTGTAATGTCGCAGAGTACATTGGCATAATTTCCTGTTACCAGTATAGCTATGTCATCAGCATATCCTAGTGTATAGAAATGTTCTTTGTTCAATTTAATGATGAGGTCATTTACGACCATGTTCCACAGCAGAGGCGACAGTACCCCTCCTTGAGGGCATCCCTTCGCTACTATCGCCCATGGGGTCATATTTGCTGTCGTTTTTATTGTTCTTAATTTTAGCATGTTGCTAATCCAGCTGATGAGCACTTCATCCACTTCGTGCCTCCTCAGTGCTGATTGAATGCTGGAGAAGTTGGTTTTGTCGAAGGCTCCTTCAATGTCGATAAAGGTGCCTAGGCAGATTGCTTTGTCTTTGAGGGCCACTTCTATCTTGCCCACAATGGCATGTAGGGCTGATTCAGTGGATTTGCCTTGACTGTATGCATGTTGGTTTCCGTGTAGTGGTATGTTCTTAAGCGCTCCATCCCTCAGTTCTCTGTCTTTCTAATGTTTTCAAAAAGAACGATGTGAGGCTGATTGGTCTGAAGGACTTCGCGTCAGTGTAGTCGTTTTTACCTGGTTTCGGTATAAATATGACTTTTACCTCTCGCCAGCTGTAGGGCACATAGCTGAATGCTAGACAGGCCTGAAAGATGTTGACCAGGTGCTGGACCAGTGTCCCCCCGCCCCATTGTAGGAGAGCGGGGAATACTCCATCTTGGCCCGGAGCTTTGTACGGTTCAAAGGTGTTTACTGCCCATTTTGTCTTTTCGTATGTTACTACTTGTTCAGCATATAGCCAATTATGGGTCGATGTATTGTAGTTCATTTCTTCGCACCTTACGTCTTGGACGAACCTACATCCTGGGAAATGTGCTTCCAGTAGGGTTCTCTCCGTGTCCGCAGGGGAAGTTGTGTATGTGTTGTCTATTTTGCGTATTGAACCTAGCTCAGTTGAGTTTGAGTTGCCTAGGATTTTCCTTATTCTGTTCGCTTGTGCACAAGACGTTATGTTCCCGCAGTAGCCTCGCCATGACGCGGTGCTCCTGAATCGTATGCGCTTTTTTAGCTTGGATTTGGCCGTCTTGTAGTTTTCCCAGTCCTCATCCGCGCATGTGTTCATTGCTCTATTGAAGCTTCTCCTTACCCTTCTTCGTAGCCTCTCAAGCTCAGGTCCCCACCAGTGTTGGCCTTGCCGCGGGGCAGGTTCACTCAGTGGGCATGCGGAGTTATAGCTGCTCAATATGTTTGATGTCAGTCCTGTAACCAGTGAAGTAACCAGTGCATCTCCGTTTTAACAAAAAATCGACTTAAATACCAATTTCAGCGCTAGTGACTAAATCGTTCTCATTCATATAAAGCAATCTATCTAAATAAATATTGAGTAATAGTTTTATAAACTTTATTGTACATCAATTAGATAAAGGGAACTTTAAAATCCATGCACTTTTATAACGGTCCAGCATATTTTACATACTTGACAATTAAAAATGTATCCAAATATCATTATTGTCGTTCTCATCCTTGTCTACTTTTAAGTCAAATAGTTACTTTAAGCCAAATATTTACTTGAAATTTAACAATTAGATGGTGGTAGTGATGACGGTGGTGGCGATGATGATGGTAGTGGTGGTGATGACGATGATGATTGTAGTGATGATGACGATGATTGTGATGATGATGTGAATGGTAATGATACTGATGATAATGGTGATCATGATGATGATGTTGATGGTGGTGATGATGATATACTGATGTATAACAAAGTTTATGTGACATTAACAAAATACTTATTTAGATTTATTTATTAATTACATATAGATAAAGAGATGGTCTGACACGGATGAGAAGGATTTTGACAGAAGAAGTTATATTAAAATATTTGTTACATGTTAAATGTTCTTTTGTGAACGATAAAATGTGTGTTGTAATAATAATTTCTCATTACTGTGCCGTCTTTCTCATTTATGTTTATTAGAAAATCATTCGTTTTACTGCAATCTCATTCGTGTGACCTAAAATAACGTTTTTTGTTGTATTTCACTTAAATATTTCTGTAATTTTATAATTATTGACATTGTTTGAACTTATTTGTACGTTTAAGACCTTAAAACCAAAAGAAAAAAGGATTTTACAAAAATCACTCAAAAAGTGCCATTGAAATTCGGAAAGTGAAATTCACCCAAATATTAAAATAACATTGGAGTTAAATACGGTCATAAAATTTTATCATTTTTCAAATAAGCAATTTTTCAAACAAACAAAATTAAGAAAAAAATGCCAATAAAGTAACAACAATAAAATTGTAAAATAAACAATATCAAAGAAGTATGAACAGGACAAATACAAAATGTCAATTTCACATAAACCCGGATCACATAACGTGACATAACGTATGTTTTTTTTTATAATATCAAGTGACGGGGCGAACTAGTCGTGTACCTGATGGCAAGCTACATGCCTGTCCATAACAGTTGCAGTTCCACTGCTCCCGTCACCCTGAGACAAAGTCCCATGTGCCTGTAATTTCACCAGTACCAGTACCCCAGTAATGCTGACATTACTGCTTGGCGGCAGAAATAGGTAAGGTAGGTTAGTACTACCCTGGACGAACTCTTTCACAAGGAGCTGTACTGCTACTAAGTCTGTCTCTGTCTGTACTAAGTAGTATTTCGTGATTTTTATCTATGGAGGAAACTTTATTGTTTTATGTTTCTGATTAACGTCTGTGCTTGAATATATCGTGTACTTACTCGTACAATATTTTATTTTTAACTTTAAAGTGGATTTACCGCTCTAAAATCAAATCGAAAATTAGTAATTACTCCTCTGCTCCCTCTTAAGCCCGTCAATAATGACATATAGTGTCATTTATTTCTTTTTTATAATCTATGTCAGATTTGTAATTAATGATTATTGACATGTCATCTGCAAAAAGAGTGCATAGATATTTTGTCGTTTCAGGGAGGTTATTAACATATAATACACAGAAGAAAACCGCTTTTCTTTTAAACAGATTTCGTAACGGTAGCAACAGCATCTTTGAAATGATTGCTGAGAAAGTGGAGGGATCTCTCATAAGGAAACTCATAGAATTTACGCAATCTTTGTTTAAAATAATTTACTAACATAGTTTATAGGTCTGTTACTAATTTAAACGTGGATTTACGTAGTCCGAAATTAAATAAATTAAATTAAATATAATTTATACAGCAATGGACCTAAGATGTATCCCTGAGGCACACCGTATTTATTAACTTTAAACTCCTGATCTGTGGGCATTAATCTCTTTATTATTATTGACCTTAACTACCTTCACACACTCAGTTCTGTGTTACTTGCTATCCAGTTATGCACCTGGTCACGAAGACCATAACTTTCTAATTTGGATAGTAGAGTTCTCTGACAAACGCAATCGAAGACTCTACTCATGTCAAATAAAACAATGTTCAGATATCTTTCATCACCCTGAAATATGCCTGTGTGGTAGATGTTCCCTTTGTAGTGAGATACTACGGACCCCTATCATCTTCATCTCTCTCATTATACGTTTTCTAGGAAATGCTCTTACTTTTCCTGATTCTTGAAAGAATTCCAACTAATATTTACTACAATGTTAGTGTCTAAATTACTTAAATTTGCTATTGTAAGCTATTTCTCGCACTTTGACAATTTACTCACTTTTCATATCTGATCTCCCGACCTTGGCATATTCTATCAGACTGATAGTATCTCCGAATTTTGCTATTCGTTTTTCCAATGCCAATTACGTACTATTTCATCAATTTCACTTTATAAACATGTTTATTTCGTATTTAATATTTTTATATGTTGACATTGACTGACAGATATGTTATCCTCTACAATCTATTCTTCCATAGATAATCCTAAATAGACTCTTCCTTTGATATGCAATCTTAGTTCGTCTCGCCTTTCCGAAGCCCTGCACCTGGCCTTACTCCTACCATGCTTACGCGCCTGCGTGAAGACCAGTTCCTCGATTGCCTCACGCTAAACCCGGTCTTCACGTTTACTCTGCTCCTACCCGGACTTTGTGCCTCACCATCACCAAGTGAGTTTGGAGCGGCAGGAGTAACCGAAATCGACGCTCACGATGAAGTAGAACTCCACCTCCGACTACAAAGTGATATAATTCACTGCTGACTACCACCACCGTCTCGTCATCATTCCTCGCTGCTCTTTGGTTCTGCACCTCTGTCCTCAGACACCAAGAGTCGAGTGCAGAGAACTTCAACTCCGTGTCTCCATTTTCTTCTATCTTTACCTTCACACTACACTTGCATTGCTCACTCTACCACGTCCTAACACTCTCAGTTTCCTTCCACTCCGACCTTCTAGCTCTCTACCTCCACATCTTTTGAAATCCAAATTGCTCTACTTTAATGATGCTGTACTTTAAAAATGCTGTAATTCTTTTATGCATTACGTTTACTTTCTTTCTTTTCTACTTTCCCAAACTGTCTTTCTCACCCTTCTTAAATAGCTCGACCATTTCCAAGTATTCAATCGTAAGTAATTTTTATGCAAAATCTGTTTTTTTGCGTATCGAACTTAATGACACGTTCATTGTAGCATTTAATTATAATGGAAAAAAATGAGCTTCATTCATGCATCTTTTAATTTGGTCGAGTGTTACCTCTTTGACAGTAATTGTTTCGGACATATTTCGGACGGAGAATGAGAGTACAGGGTCTGGTTTGGGGGCAGGCTGAAAACTCGTGATGAGCGACTTCTGCCCCTCTGTGAATACCGAGACTATCCCCCACAAACAAATGTTTTTAGATAGTCTTGTTTACATTATTAAGTAGTTAATGTGTGTGGAAATAAATGGTTTACATTTTAATTTTAGAACGACCAAGGTGGTCCGCTGGTGACGTGGATCGGTGGTCGCGAGACTGTCATCGGCGTGGCTTCGGCGTTCCTCGTCACCACCAAAATGGAGTGCAAGGGTCCCTTCATTTTTGCCAGCACCGCTTGCTCTAGCAAGTTAATTCTTTGTGTTATGAGAAGTAAATTGTTAGTATACATTTTTTTATGAGGACTAACCAACAGTGGCACTGTAGCTGAATTCAACCGTACAAAAGTATAGATATCCAATAAAACATTATTATTTTAATGTAATCGAAACCTTACTCGACTTTACGATATTCTGGCAGCTCTTGGAGTTCTTTTTTTCAAATAAACATCGGCAAGCGCAATTTCACCAATTACAGTTTTTTAGAATTAAGAAAAATGTGTATCTAGTGCAGGAAATGAAACTATTTTTGCGGATCAAAATCACGTATATTTTTTTTTAAACAAGTCAACGTTTCGGCAGCATGTTATGGATAAACCTACATACTCAATTAAATTCGACAAACCCCAGGTCCTTGCAAAAGCAGTTCGTTATCTAACCAGGATGCTGCGTGAGGCCGTTGAATTTTTTTTTACAACGCACACTTATAGCCCCGCACAACATGGACATACCCATAGACAACCATAAATTACACCTAAACTCACGAGAGAAATAAATATAGGCCATACAACGGATGAAAAATCCTAAGCGGATATGTAAGGCTGCAGTACTGATATTTTAATTTATTCTAATTGGCATTGTTGATTATCAATTAATAATTAATTTAATTTAAAAATTAATATTGTTAAAATAAAATAAAATAATTTGTAAAACATAATTCGTCCGTGTTTTGTAGAAAGGGCGAAAGCGCCATTTAGAAAAATTTTTGAGGGAGCACGTTGAGTACAACTATTTAACTAATAGTCGTGAACAAGTATGTTCACGACTGTTTTTTGAATATTTACGTCCTGTTTTAAATTAAATATTATAATTTAAACTTAATTAAAACCAAAATAGAATTTAAAAACACTACGTAAATATGTTAAAACAGTGTTATAACGTAAAACATGCTCCCCTGAACAGTTTTCTGAAATGGCGAAACCCTTTCTATAAAACACCGAAGTAACGCAAATTGAATGTTCTTTGGAAAAATTAATAGTAAGGTATTTACTTAATAAATTTTGTAACTATATTGAAAAATAGGATGGTTTGCATAACTGGTTGATGACTTTACCATCTCAGCCAGCCGTGACCATGGGACCTGTAAAGTGCCCGAACGTTGATTTGTTTGATTTAGATAAAAAAAAAATAGTTTAATTTCCTATGTATGAGAACCGCGAAAACCTAAGAACTCGAGAAAAGACCCAGTGATCGTACAACTTTTTGTTCAGCCGACAAATTACTTTAAATATTTTAGTAGTAGTAGAGCTGCTTGTGAAAGAGTTCGTCCAGGGAAGTACTGCCACCTTACTTATTTCTGCCGCCAAGCAGTAATGTCAGCATTACTGTTACTGTACATTACATAATGGCTTCACATTTTAGTTTGTACTTCAGTCAAGGTTCAAAATTACACGATTAGACCCGCAGGAGAGTGCCATCGTTTTAATTTTCTGTGTTACTAAATACTAAACGCTAAGTGAAAGGGCGCCTTCAAATTAGATGCTTATAGAAGCTATGCATTGCCGTCACAGTTGTGACACCTGCGCGCCACTTTGCAGGTACACAATTAAGCGTAAAACACACATAGAGCGGGTGCGAGACGGGCGCGGCCGCGGGATGTGCGCACGGACCCGCGCTCGGTGTATTATAATCCATATAAATACATGGCATCAGACCCGCTGCGGTCCCGACCCGACACGCGCCCGACCCCACTAGCTCTTTGTGTGTTTCACATATTAGTAAACTAAAAATTACTGAAGCGCTACAGACGCGCGAAATATAAGTCATTTTGTAATTATATATTTATTAACACAAGACAAAAAATACATGCCAGACTACGTAAGAAAAGCAACAAATGCTGAGAACAAAATCGAGAATTCCTCACAACGAATAGATAAGTAGGTTGTGGCATTACGTGTAGGTAGTACTTGGTAATAAAAACAAAAGCAATGAACTATTGAACTAGTATGGTTGCCAGCTATCCCCGGTAGGGCTAGCAGGACAGATCGCGACTTGCGAGAGAGCAGCCCCATATCTTTCTAGATAAGTTTTGTTTATAGTGAACCCCTCCTTATCATTCTCTTTGTGATACGGGGAGGGCACTATAACCAGTGCAAGTAAGCTCGCAGAGGGACTATCTCAGTCAGGTCCAGACCCCAGATTAGCCCGTAGCCTCTGTATGATTCACACTTTAGTGAACTAAAAATCACACAGCTGGACTTGCCACTGCAGCGCTAATACAAGCATCTACTTTGAAGATGCCCAAATACAAAGATGGACTGTAAAATTTCCTTGTGTACGAGATATGTGATATTGCAGATCTACTGCGATCGTCGTTGGACGAACAAAAATTGAGAACAGCTTTTATATTAAACTTAAAAGGCTCCACAAATTGTAGACTGAAATGATAAATAATCCTTTGTATGACCAGGCGACGGAGTGCAGCAGACTGTGATCAAGTAGCTCAAGAATCCGGACAACGTGTTGTCGAAACTGTAATAGATTGGGAAAATAATAAGTATGTTATTTTTATTGATAGTTTTTTTTTCTTTCATCTCAAAGTCAAAGAATCATTTATTCCATAGGTAAAATAAATTTACACTTGAACACGTCACATTTAAGCAACTGCTCGTTTACTAGGCTAACTTTCCTGAGAAGAACGAGCAAGAAACTCTAAGGCATGCTCTTTTCAAATAAATGAATGCTATTGAATACTTTACACTTTGAATCAAATTTGTGTGAAATTTAGAGCCGTCTCGTCTTTTCATACATCTTTATCTAACACGTAGTCTTCAATTTTGTAACATGACTTTCCAATCAAAATATTTTTAATGTAGTTTTTAAACTAAGGAAATGATAATCTTAATATATGCTGTGGTATGTTATCGTAAAAATATATACAGTTAAACGAAATCGTGGTACCATGAGTTTGGACTTAGCTCAAAGTATAATATTATGGATGCCTCCTTTCTTGTTGAAATTACGTATATTTTTATGAGCATATAAAATATTTGAGTAAATGTACTGTGATGCCACAGTCATGATATCAGTCTCCTTAAACTTTTCTCTGAGAGAAACCCGAAAACCTAAACGATAGACACAATGAATTGCTTGTTTTTGCAATACAAATATGGTTTGAATGTCTGCCGCTTTACCCCACATGAGAATCCCATAGGACATTATACTATGGAAGTTACTAAAGTAAATAATCTGGCAGTACTAACATCGGTAAGCTCATGTATTCTGCGTACTGCATACGCAGCGGAGCTTGGTCTGCTATTCAGGAAAGATATTGTAGAAACCGTTGAAGTTTACTATCTAAGGTCACTCCCAGGAAGACTAGTTTATTAACCATACCAAGGTCTAGCCTTTTTCCGTTTATTTCCATGCTTGGACTTTTAGTAGCTTTTACGTTAGGTAATTCAAATTTAACACACTTTGTCTTCTTGGCATCAAGCAATAAATTGTTAGCATTAAACCAATAAATTACCTTAGAGAACCCTTTCTATCTATCTATCATTAATATGGTCATAGTTATCATCGTTTTAAAAATCAAGGTTGTGTTGTCAGCAAGGAATACTATTTCGCAATGGCCCTTACGAAGAATGGCATATCATTAATATAAAAAAGAAATAAGAAAGGTCCAAGTATTGAGATCTACGGAACACCCATCTATGTAAATCGATTTTTTGGTAAGTATAGCAAAAAGTCGAGTTTATATAAACTGTATACAATTAATTATTTAAATATTCCTTTAATAATTTTTACACCATATCGTGTTTTTAGGTTTTCGCCAAATTACACATTAGAAATAAAAACATTTATGTTTTCGGATTAAAATCGCGTATATATGTTTTTTCAAACAAACTAAAGTTTTAGACCCTTTACATGTTCCATGGTCACGGCTGACTGGACAGATACTTACGTATTATAAACAACAAAAACATATTTTTGCCTAAAAAAGGTTAACCGATAACCGCGCGTCCAAGTGCCAAATCATATCTAATTAACCACTCGGGCGCCTTAGTTTGCCAAACATACGGCCTACCCCTTTCCCTCCATTCCGGAAATATAGCTCCTGCCCACAATTACCCACTGCGCTCAGTTACTTCAGATGACTTTAGTGGTTGAAATTATTCTATCTTTATTATCGAAAAAAATATTTTTTGTCGTCTGAGGTAATTAATGGTCATTTAAAAGTATTTCGACTCATACGAAGAACAATATCCAATGTGATTATACAGCGAAAAGGGGTTAAAATATAATCTCGTGCTTCAAAAGGCCTATACATATAAAGGTGTTTTTAGTTTTTTTATGTATTTATTATTTCGTTTGGAAATATAAAATCGAACTACAGTCGATCTTGACTGTGGATATCCGCAGTCACGAACAACAAACAAAATGTACAATGTGCCGAGAATAAGCAGCATCTTGCACATAGGTCGTTGTTCTACGGATGCGTCGCTTTGCATCAAAATCTATGGGATAATTATGCCACAAAAACTGCCACCAATTTACTCGTGCAGACTGACCGATTTGACTTATGTATTTATATGCAAACAAATCAATCATTTTTAATATTTAGACGAGTTTGATACTAATAACCAGAATAAATGCAAGTCATTTTGTCCAGGAAAGAAGCAGATTTTCTCTTAAACTTCATTATCACAATTCTCCGGATTTAGCCTAAAATCACCCACAATAGTTCCGTTCTATTATGAGACATAAACCAGGACTAATATTTCTTTAATTTATAGGAAACATAGAAGATCGGGAATTAGAAATAATATGAGTGCATTTTGGAAAATATTCACAAGGTAACTTTAGTTTTTAATGTAATATTATACTACTGCTTGTAGTTGGTGATCGTCAATATAATTATATATTTCTTAACCCAAGACAAAAAATACATGCCAGACCACGTAAGAAAAGCAACAAATGCTGAGAACAAAATCGAGAATTTCTCACAACGAATAGATAAGTAGGTTGTGCCATTACGTGCAGGTAGTACTTGGTAATAAAAACAAAAGTAACGAACTATTGAACAAGTGTGGTTGCCAGCTATCCCCAGTAGGGCTAGCAGGACAGATCGCGACTTGCGAGAGAGCAGCCCCATATCTTTCTACATAAGTTTTGTTTATAGTGATTAGTAACCCTCCTTATCATCCTCTTGCTGATAGGGACGGGCACTATCAACCTGTTCAAGTAAGCTCGCACAGGGACTTTCTTAGTCAGGTCCTGACCCCAGATTAGTCCGTTTGTCTTGGGTGAGCTGCCCCAGGGGCACGTACAGCGCCTTCCCTATTTTGCAGACAGGTACCGGAGCTGTAGGCAGACACGCTCACTACCCGTTGCGCACTGAGCAACTAACGGTTGCCACTGCTAAACTTGTGACGGTGTGACCTCCTTGCATCGTCATCCCACCTTTTTATCGCCTTTCTCCGGTTTCTGGCCACTCGTATTTAAATTTAAATTTTGAATTGTTCCATTCTTTTGCCTCACATTCTGATTTTGTTTAATTCCACCGTCACTCCCTGTTCGATTGCGGCAGCGAATACATCTTCTCTTCTTATTTTTTTGATAAACATTAAAAAGATCATAAATATTGTTAAAGCTGGAATAAATATTAATAAAACTGGATTTATTACCACTAGTTCTTTACCCTTTTGAACTTTAAACTTTAAGCAGCGCTCTCGCACTGGCGCCCGAACAGGGAATTTGTAGACCTGAATATTTCTGTTTTACTGCCGTGAACCTTAGGGTTCTAACCCTTTCAAGCTGTCGACTCTAAAGACTACTACCAAACCTCCTCTTTGGTGGCGGAGCTGTAAGTCACGCTCATTTCCCGACGCCAAAGCGTCTCTCTAGTTCCCAGAAACCTACGCGACTGGAGGGACCGGATGATGTCTAGCTCACCCTCTACTAGCCCTCTGGGCTAGTGCCAGTCGCTGGGTCCTGCGACAATGTCCGGATATAACTTCCGACTTAAAGGGCAACTCACGTGCCCCGCGCGTCTCCTCGCCTTGGGCTCTCGTCTAGACCGCTACTAAGATGCGCTATTCTGGGGCAGACGAACGTGCTGGCGAGTCCCATACCCAAGTCCAGGTCTACCAGAGACGCTCGCGGGAGCCCGTAGTCTCCCCGGAACTCCCCATTTCTCGGGCTGGTAGACAGGAACAGCATGCGAGAGTAGTATAAAGCGCGAGATACTGCTATTCACGCATAGATATCATGCGCTTTATGTCGCTCTCGCGCAAGTTGCGCCCTATCATGCCTAGCTCCTTGTCATAAACAAGGCATTTTGGTAACTTTCGAGTTATTGACACCTAAAGATCTTTTTTTTAAAACGTCAATTAAATTGATTTTGTTTAATAATAAAACAAAATAAGATATAAAAGAAACGGTTAGGACGGTTTGTTGATCTCGTGTTGCTGATTTCAGATAAGTTAATATTATATGTCGATTACGTTGTTTAATTTAAGGTTGTTTATGATACATAAGGACAGCAGTATTGATCCTTAATGTTCCGGTCGAGTGGGTTTGTGTATTTGAGAGGCTGGGTGTTGGATGTGGGGTGAGCACAAAAAGACTTAGGATGATAATAATGATTTGTTCGTGTTTTACAGTACGTCTAAGGTGGATGTAGAAACCACAAAAGCTATAAACGCGAGTACGAAGTCATATCTAGATTTGAGGTATGTGGTAAATACAATTGTACACAATTTGCGCTATAATCGACTTAGAAATAGAAACAGTATATAAATACAAAGTCTCACCATTTTGTAGCCTTTTGTAGTATACCTGCACTTAGTAAAAATCCTCAACTTCCTCAAGCTAAACCAGTTATTCACCCTCAGAGCACTTGCGCTCTGCGTCCGATCCGCATCAGTGCCCCAATTCTGCTAATTTTCCTAAAACCAATGGTCATTATAATTCCATTGAGACTGCACTGTGATTATAATGCTATTATGATAATATTTGTTACTCCGCTAATATCTAGTTGCAACGGCAATTCAGTCTCAATAGAGTGTCAGTGTAGAGTGCACTGATGGCATTCATTCATTCATTCATTACTAACGATCGATGTTGCTTTGTTTAAACCTACCATGAAAATTACTACCTATGCATTTTTGATTTTTATCTCGTTTAATCAACAACTTAGTCTTCACATTAATGAATAATATTAGTAGACTACACTATTGATATGCTATCGACTCGCCATTGAAGAGAAGTACCCTTTGTATGTGTTACTGTACTATACTGTTAAATGATGATAAAGCAAGTGATCACAGTAACTGGTAGTTTCCTCTGACCGCCACCGCATTAACGGAAGCGCCACGCGTTCCACCGCATTTGTCGGAGATCTATAATTTAGGCGCCTGGTGGACGTAGAGGAAGCGCGACAACGTACGAGCACGAAACTCACCTCTAAGGACAGTGTAGCATAGTTCAGTTGTTCAGCACTCCCTTTACCTACCGATCCGTCCCTCTCCAGACATTCCTTCTCCATACAGTCCACTTCTACCTCTCTTCTTAAAACGAACAACTCAACCCGCTCATATTCGGCGCATACCGTCATACAGTTTGACTGCCGCGCTGAAACAGCAGTTGAATGCTCGATGGCTAACCACTGACAAGCCAGTACTCTTCTTTCTGAGTGTGTGCGTAATAAACAACTGGGATGATTTAAATTAGCAGACTTGGGATCCAGTTTTGAATGTGAGAAATGGAAGTAGTCATTAATTCTTTTTGTACATATGTATGAGCTATTACGCAATAAATCCGAATTCCGTCTTCCAAAGTAAAGAATACCTTCAATAGTAACTACAGTATTATTTGCATTAACGACTAACTGATAAGAAATAAAAGGTCTTTTGACGTTTCATTTTCATATGCAAAAAAACGAGTATTTTTAAGCGAAATCATTGGATGTTTATTTAATTGTAAAGAGGAGGGTATGCCATTAATAATGGAATACAATATCATTCAAATGGCCGCGCTTGCAAGACTATATTCTTTTCATTAAATTTTCAAAATCACCAGTTCGCACATTTGCGGTATGTCCTCGATAACTGCACGAATTCCATTTTTGAAGTCTTGAATTGATTGTGGGCCATTGCCATAGACCTTATAGCACCAAACAAAAAGTCCAAAGGTGTTAAATCACAAGATCTCGGTAGCCAATTGTTATCGCCTCTTCGAGAAATTACACGGTCAGGAAACTTTTCACCCAAAAGAGCGATGGTATCGTTTTTTATGTAGCACGTAGTTATTAATGGTATACGCTCCTCTTTACAATTAAATAAACATCCGATCATTTCGCTTAAAAATACTCGTTTTTTTACATATCAAAACGAAACCTTTCATTGGAAGACCCTTTATAAGTAAATTTAATTATCTTATCTAAAGTTTTTGATTGTTTATAACTATCTATGCGACTGATAAAAAAAATCATATGATTTCGTTAAGTTTTAATACGTTCGTATCTTAATTATTTTTATTTGGTTAATTTTACAGTGTTATCAAACGCGTTTTTTCTCTGTTTACGCCTAATGTGCAGGCATCAAAATCACAAATACGACGTTTGGACGTAAGGTGGGTATTGACATGTCTAATACAATTTTATAATATTATCAGTTCTGAATATGAGAACGATGACATAGGGTAAATAAGGTGTTATTAATAATCACAATGCAATGGGTGAATAACAAAATTATTAGTTGGATTAACTAAAAGTGCTATGATCTTTTGTTAATAACGTCGTTTTATTATATTTATTTTAACCAAAAGATTCCTGAGATTGATAGTGATACTCTAGTTTAGAAGCCATTTGATTCTATTAATTAATTAATTAGTTTACCATTTTTGAATTATTATATCAATAAAGTTTATTACATATATTTCTTTAATTTTCTGACTCTAAAAAAATAAAACATTATCTGTAAAATCAAACAAGGGCTTACTTTTGTGACGTTACTAAACACCCTCTACGCTATTAACTTTGTTTCAGTAAACAAACAGAAAATAACTCATTCAATGATAAAATAAACGGGACAAACAAACTGGAAAAACCGACAAATTTAAGTGACTGGGTTTCGAAGGGTCTTGATCAATTCTTTAGGTAAGTAGATGCTATTTTAAAGCTGACCACAAAGTCAATTATGATTGTGGCATAAGTCATGGGAAATCATGCATTGTTCACAGTCAGAAAGTCTTAGTAAGTAATGAAACAGATTCGGAAGTCGAAGAAAACCTTTATGGAGGAATTCATGATGCACGAGTTCATGATCCTGAATTTCATGACGACGGAGACGAAACATACCTTAGTGAAAGTGATCAAGACGAACCCGATCTTGGTGATCATGCACAAGACACAACAGGTCACGCGAAAAATCATCCAAGCGAAGTAACTAGGTATTTCATCATTTTATTATTTATGTATGAGTGGTCAGATGGTCAAATCAATAATTTAAACGTCTTATTTAATTACCGACTTGGGCAGGACGTAGGACCAATTTTCAACAAATTAATTCATTTACAGCCAGAAATCTAAAATTGAACCAGTTGAACAAGGTCCAGAATCTGTAAGTCATCAGAATAGTTACAGTAAGGCAAAGATAGATAAAAACTGAAACAATGGAGCGGAAATTTGTGAGCCATTAGCCGGTTTTAAATCCGGTTAAAATGCAGGTGGGGTGTTTGGGTTTTAACCCACTGCCCATCTCTGGGCCCTTACAAAAATCATCCATAACAAGAATGGTAAAATGAAAAACGGCTCTAAATGACTCGACGATGGAAAATGTAACTTTACAGACATTTTGAACATGCTTTAACTGAATAAATAATTATTTATTAACTTCATTCCTATTTTTGTCGAATTGCTGATACATTGCATGTTGCATTTTATTATTTGTAAAATGTTTATTATTTTTGTAATTGTTTCAATTCAATAAAGTTTATAGAACTAAAACGAAAGTTACTTTTAATTTTATTAATTGTTCTTGAACTGTACGAAGTACTGTTAATTTTAATTTTAAGGAACTGTGTCACCTTCAATGTAGTAGCAGTAGAGCTCCTTGTGAAAGAGTTTGTTCAGGAAAGTATAGCCACAGTACCTATTTCTGCTGCCAAGCAGTAATGTGAGCATTACTGCGTTCCGGTTTTGAAGGGTAAAGGTGCTGGTGAAATTACAGTTACGTGGGACTTGTTAACTTATGTCTCAGGGTGTCGGGCGCAGTGGCAGTGTCCCTCAGATCTTTGCGATTTAAAGCTCTAAATGGTACTGCAACTGTTATGGACAGGCGCGTAGCTTAACACCAGGCGCACGACTTGTTCGTCCCGTCGAGTATTACTTATTTGACAGTAATTGTTTCGGATGGATATTGGGCAGAGAACGAGAGTAGGCCTGCGCCGTTTACTTAGTTATTTATGAACTCGATTCTAATTTAGCATCCAAAGTTATACCTATAAATGCAACTGTATCTACAAGGTTTGTTCTTTCGTTTCTAACTATGATATTTTGTGACCGTCTGTCTTACATTCGGCAAGTAAATATTACACGAGCTGTTTTTTTTTCATTGAAAGTAGACAGGAATTGCCGGTTCTGGGCCACCTGTTAAGTGGGAATGTGGACCTTATGTGTATTATGTGTGTTTTGGTGGTGCTATGAGGGTCGCAGGTCAGGTAATGTTGGTTTAGTGTGTTGTTTGATGCGGTGTGGCTGTTTGCGATGAGCTATGGGGTCAATAATGGGTGGTCATGCGCGTAGGAGAAATACATAAAGCCCCTTTAAACGCTGCCAAGTCATTCTCACCCCACAACCATAAAGTCCACATTCCCACTTAACAGGTGGCCCAGAACCGGCAATTCCTATCTACTATTGAAGAGCAGGTTAATAACTGCAAACCAATCAACTATCTATAAATAACATTGTTCACCTAGCACTCGTGAACGCCTTGCTGAAATAAAAAAAATATTGCGGTTAAGGTAATTCCTTATTATATTTTCTGGTCAGCTTCCCATAGAGTCACAGTCAATTGCCAATTCTAATTGATTTACGTTATTAATTATTACAGTGGAGTTTCGAACAAGGTAGATAACACTTTCAAGGCTAAGCAGGCGCTTTTCAGAAATATTAGTATTACTAAAAATATACTCAGAGAAAATTGTAATCTAATAAATTTATTCTGGAGTTTATAATCATGAAGTATATTAACTCGCTTGAAATATTTACTGAAAATTGGGTGACATTTACGATTTAGGAAGTTCATCGAAGTTTTACAGTGATATTATAATAATTTTGTAGAACGATAAACAACTGCTATGATATATTTGAAAATCTTTACTTTTACATTGTGTTTCGTATTTATTGTGGATTGTAAGTATTTTAATAACATTTTTTCTCCTTATTATTGATACAAAGATAAAACACAAAGAAAAAAATTCCTTCGACCCGACTGAATTGACAATAGCACATTTTTCTCACAATTTGTCAAATCGAACCAGCTTTCGTTGCCTCAACGTGGCTACCGGAATCGAGCCAGAACAAAAAAATACGAATTTCTCTACGTACTTGTTGCAGATCTTTGTATCGGGCTTTAAACAGCTTTTTGCTTTTTTGTTTGTATTGTTCGATATTTGCATCATAGTAATAACTAGGGCTCGGATGAGTATGCCATATAAACTACAAAATATGTACATATAGTACGGGCAAAAAATATTAAAATATGGAAAAAATATGGAGATAAAAAACTACAGTTTTCACATAGACCATAGGTATATTTCCTATATCTATGGACTACGCTTTATTAAAAAAAAAAATATTATTCCACTTCAACATTTCAATCTAATTTTCGTTGCAGTTATTGTTACAATACACAATAACATTTTTTTTTCTGTCTGTTTGGTCGGAATAACGCTTTGCAATGGCTGAATGATCTTTCGACGTCACAGGATGTGACTGGAGCAAACTTAAATTTTAACAGGTCCACATGTGAATAGAACACGTCTAGGTTGTCTTCGAATCTTCCGTATAAATACACTGTTAATTCTTTTTAGTGTATTAAATCCTTCCATTTTATGAAATTAAAATATCGCGTAATATTGAAAATATGGATTATTACAAGTTTTGTGTAGAAATATGGTCTAAATATGGAAAACAACAGTCACTTTTTGATTTTAAATACTATTATTTATGTAGAAAACAAATTAAAGAACATCAATTATTGAAATCAATAATCTCAGTACAGAGTACTAAAAAAACTGACCTCAAAAGTACGTGGAATTACATATAATTACCAAGTTTTATTGAAATCGGTTCCCGGAAAGTGCGCAACCATTAAAATAATTCCTCCTTACAATTAAATTTAGGCGCTATTTATAAAAATGAATCTTCATGCGTGAACAGCCACCCATAGAGGTGTATGATTTTCTTCAAAATAAAATGGGACCACTATGGAGGTACCCTCTTTACAACAAAAAAATAATCATGAAAATCGGTTCACATATACCGGAGTTATAGCGTAATATACATACAAAAAAAACAGTCGAATTGAGAACCTCCTCCTTTTTTAAAATTGGTTAAAAATATATAATAACATATTAATCCGGGCCCTAGTAAAAACAAACTAGTACAATATTTTCACAAAATCTAAATGAAACATTATTATCCTGTCAAACTTAGCATTTTCGGCGGTTTAATTTTTTTTTCATCGTCAGGGGTTTGCTCTCGACGCAGAGTTTTGAATGGACATAAGGTCCATAGCGTTAAACCTTATATGGTAAGTGCTTGTAAAGTGTTACAACTTATTTTCTAAGTCAGACCATATCTTACATAAATAAATAGCCAACACACTTTATTATAATTATTATAATATCAAATTAATATTAATTGCGAATTTATGTTTTTCTTTAAAATATCAAGTGGTGGGACGAACAATTCGAGCTCCTGATGGTAAGAAGCTACACGCTACACGCCTGTCCATAAGTTCATAACAATTGCAGTGCCACTCAGAGGTTTAAGTCGCATAGATCTTAGGTGCACTGCTACTCGTCACCCTGAGACATAAGCTGACAAGTCCCATGTGCCTGTAATTTCACCAGCACACTTAACCCTTCAGAACCGGATAGCAATAATGCTCACATTACTGCTTGGCGGCAGAAGTAGATAAGGTACTAAGGATAAGATACTTCCCTGGACGAACTCTTTCTCAAAGAGCTCTACTGCTACTAAATAATATAATGATCGAACTGCTGTAAAGAAGTTCATAATAATACCAGCTTCACATAATACCAGTGCCGTGGCTGTTCCCAGATACTGCATATGCCGAGTGGTGCCCAGTATCTTTAATTTCAGTTTTAATTTATTATTTTATTTTGTAAGTACGATTTAAAATGAATGGCACTGAATAAAATTTTCTTCTTTGTTTCTTTCTTTTATAATTTTAATGGTTATTGTTTTACTCATACTCGCGTTCGAAAGAAAGAAAGGCACAAACAGCAAATTCTAAATTCGTAAATAAATGTGTTTAAATATGTTTTAGGGTTTTCTGATAAAAAGTGTAGTTAAAATATACATTTGACATTAAGTAGTTGACATAGGGTACACTATAAGTGTCCGGAACTGGCCACTTGCATAAACAATATTTAAAAAGTAATTACAACATTTGAAAATGGAACTCTTTGGCTGTAGAATACAGTTTCATCTGACTGTCACTTGTTTTTACATTATGGCGTCATTTTAGAAATTGGTTGTCTACATCACTATGGATTTAACTCATGGAAATTTTCGTAGTATGATTTTCTACGATTTTAAGTGTAATTTAACAGCTCAGCGGAACTTCACTCGATTTGAAACTGCTTTTGGCGATGAAGCACCATGCAAGATAACTATGTATAGTTGGTTTGCAGAATTCAAACGCGGTCGTGTGAATCTCAGTGACGAATTTCGTGATGGTCGCCCGTCCACTGCTGTTAACAACAAAAGCAGCGATGCTGTGTGTCGTATGATCAAAACAGACAGACATGTGACATACCATGTGATTTGGGCATCTTTAGGCATAGGCATGAGTCAAATACAATCAATACTGCACAAACATTCGGGTGTGAAAAAGCTGTGCTCTCGGTGGATTCCACACAATTTGACTAAGGCTCAAAAAATGGATCGCGTCACTTGGTGCAATGCCATGCTTACCAGATTCAACGAAGGGGCGTCAAATTTGGTGTGGGACATAGTAACAGGTGACGAAACATGGATTTATAGTTACGATCCCAAAACAAAGCTGCAATCGAGCGTATGGGTCTTTCGAGATGAGCCGAAACCAACTAAAGTGGCGCACGTGCAAAGTGCCTCTAAGCGGACGATTGCTTCTTTTTTTAATAAAACTGGACACGTGGCTACTGTTGCTTTGGAGAATCATTGTACCGTGAATAGTGATTGGTACACGACCATTTGTACGCCGGAAGTTGTTGACAAACACCGCAAAAATAACCGTAAACGCCGTATCATCTTGCACCACGATAATGCCAGTTCTCACACGGCCAGACAAACAAATGAATTTTTGAAGGTGAACGACGTTGACCATATGAGCCATCCCGCGTACAGTTCCGACCTGGCACCTTGTGACTTTTATTTATTTCCAAAAATTAAGAACTAGTTACGCGGTCAACGATTTTCATCGCCTGAAGAGGCTGTCGAAGAGTATGAAAAATATGTTTCAGAGATTGTCATAAATGTTTTCAAAATTGGTTCATTCGTTTGAAAAAGTGCATTAAGTGTAACGGAGAAAATTTTAATAACAAGAAACAATATAATCATTTCTGACCATTTATAGTATTTTTTCTTATTCATTCCGGAAACTTATAGCGCGCCCCATGTACATATTTTATACAGACACTTTCATTATATTTTAATCAGCCGTTTTCAAAAATACCTTAATTTTCTCTTTTAACTTATTAGCAGAAGAGGCTCCCTGTGAAAGAGTTCGTCCAGGTCTGTACTGCCACCTTACGTATTTCTGCCGGCATTGCTCTGTACCGCATTTGAAGGGTAACGGTGCTGGTGAAATTACAGGCACATGGGACTTATCAACTTATGTCTCAGGGTGTTGGGCGCAGTGGCAGTATCCGTCAGATCTTTGCGATTTAAAGCTCTGAGTGGCACTGCAACTGTTATTATGGACAGGCGTAAAGCTTACCAACAGGCGCACGACTTGTTCGTCCCGTCACTTAATATTATATAAAAAAAGTAGAAAAATAATTAATTAAATTTAATTTAAATTAATTTATTTGTAAAATTAAAAATAAGGTATTTAATTAATAACTATTGTAACTATAGTGAAAAAATAGGGTGGTTTGCATTAATATTAGACATAACTGGTTGAAGACTGTACCACCTCAGTCAACCGTGACCATGGGACCTGTAAAGGGCCCGAAACGTCGGTCTGTTTGAAAAACAAATATACGCGATTTAAATCCGGATTTCCTATGTGTAACAATCGCGAAAACCTAAGAACTCGATAGAAAAAGAATTATTATAACTGCATATAAAGGGCATAACTAATTTCATTGTTACTTTTAATACTAGATTCATGAATCTAAAGGGCACAATTATATTCAGTTGTGTCTTTTTTCTATGAATAATAATAATAGCTAGCCTATCTCATATATTCCCACTGCTAGGCGAACTCTCACAATGAGAGGATTTTGGGCTGTTCCCATGCGGACCCAATGCGTATTGGGAACGTCACACAAACCATTAAATTGCTTTGCAGGTTTCTGCAGGTTTCCTCACGATATTTTTCTTCACCGAAAAGCTCGTGGTAAATTTCAAATTAAATCGCACATAAATTCCGAAAACTCAGAGGTACAAGCCCGGATTTGTACCCACGACCCTCTGCTTGAGAGGCGATAGGTCAAACTATTAGGCTACAACGGCTTCTTTGTGTTTTTACGAGTATATTGCAATTGAACTAATAAAGGAACAGTTCCGTGTATAACTAAATTTTTTTTTTGTTAATAGTGTTTCTAATTAAACGTCAAATATAACTTTTTACAGTGAACAGTCTGTATCTCTACTATGAGATTACAGTGACAGTGATCGCTAGCGACCACGTAAGATGTTTGTCAACAAAATGTTGTTTCTTCTTGTGACCGCCAGGTGTGCTGTATAATTTGCCATACAAAATTGAGAAGTAATTTAATTAAAATCGAGTTCTTAGGTTTTCACGAATGTTGCACATAAAAATGAAACTATTTTTCCGGATTTAAACGCGTATATATATAAACGCGTTTTTTCAAATAAACCAACGTTTCGAGCCCTGTACACAATTGTCCGTCGTTCACAATTGAACGTGACTATCAATTAAATGTTGGTTTGTTTGAAATAACAAATATTCGCGATTTAAATCCGGAAAAATAGTTTCATTTCCTAATTCAATTTAATTTACGCGGTCGCTAGCGGAACCTGTCACAGTAAACTTGTGGTAGAGGCATAGATTATTGAAGTCAGTTATGACCTTGCTATAGATTCAACAATTATTATTATTTAAGTATATTTCCACAAAAAAAAGATAGATTTGCCATCATTTCCTGATCCCGAATATGTACAAAACTCGAATTTGATAAAAATGTTTGCTAGGCCCTTTTTCATTCGAGGGCAGTACTACTGATTTTGACTTCATTGTTCTCACATATGTCGCTAGAGGCCGCGAGTTGTTCTTTCCGGAAATTTAATCACATTCTACTAATTAAATAGCCATAATATTCAATTATAGTTATTTAATTAGTCCACTATTAAACACTGATGATATACAGAGTGTTTTTTAAGGAGACGGTGTGGGGAAATCCGCAACTATAGAAGATTAATTTTTTTTTTGTGAAAACAATTTTCGCATAGTGAATCAAGTGTGAGTTGTCCATAAAAATTAATAAAATTGACCGAATTTTTTTTAGTGCTGATCGACCCAATTTCATGAAGGGATCATTTCGTTGTATGGGACCATAATGTATGGGATGAAAAAACTCATATTTCATAAATGTATTTCATACAAAATGAATAAAATGTACAAATGTTATGATTATGAATACCAAGATCGAACACAGAATTATTTTTCATCTAGTCCATGCTGCACCGTAGCATTGCTCTTATCAATTGAGCAACGGGTCCAGTTACCGAGCCGTCAAAATTCTCCTATGTGTTGTTCGTTAAAGATCTTTGTACTGGTTTTGGGCATTCGTCGCCGCTAGTGACATCTAGTGAGAGATTTACGAATAACTTTCTCACCGCAGCCAAAGTTTTGTTATATTTTTTATGAAAAGAAAAAAACGATCTTTGTATTTACAATAAAAGTAATTAAAATACTCAAAGTGAAGAAATGTAGCGAAATCTTAAATGTTAAGACTGTAGAGAGAGGAAGAGAGAAATAAAATTGGGCACAGTACCAAAAGCCCTAAACAAAAAGTTCATTTATCGAGTTCTTAGGTTTTCGCGAGTATTGGAAATTGAACTATTTTTCGGATCTAAATCGCGTATATTTGTTTTTTCAATCAAACCAACAACGGCTGACATCAGCCGCCGTGGGCTTAGGACCTGTAAAGGGTCCGAAATGTTGGTTTGTTTCTAAAGCTTATTTATTTCTTTCACTTGTATTTTGTAGTTCAATGCTTGTTTCAAAATATAAGCATGTTGCTTCTTACTTTACGTTCGTAAGAAACTCACTGATAATAATTTTTTTTTAAGGTATACCTTGTTAAACATCAGTGGTCTCATGCGTTTTACGAAGGTTGGCTCTGCGGTGGAGCGATTATACATCCGTTACACGTTCTGACGTCAGCTACTTGTGTGAAAGACGTTTACAATATTTACGTTATCTCTGGTCTTAAGCAGTATATATCAAATGCATACACAGATGACAACAAGTGTGTTAGAAGAACACGACGGAGAATTGTATCACTGTGTGAATTTAAAAGTTAGGTCGTTCATTTTTTGAGTTGTTAGTATTTTAAGAATAACCCTGTACATTCTCGTTTATAAATGCATAATTAAGTATTATGTATAAATATAATATCAATACAGAGTACTAAAAAACCGACCTCAAAAGTTCGTGGAATTAAATCTATTTGCCAAGTTTTTTGAAATCGATTATCGGAAAGTGCGCAAACCGGGATTCATCCCGGCTCATCCCGGCTTTGGTCTAGGCTCATGTACGGGACTTAATACAGGAGATAACAAAAATCGGTTCTCACTGCTTAAAGTATATACCTATATATAAATAAATAAATATTCATAATGAATATTAAGCTAAGGAATGGAATGCTCTACCGGCATCTGTATTTCCCGAAAAGTACAATTTGGGGCTATTCAAGGCTAGAGTGAATAGGCATTTTTTAGGCAAACGCGTCCCATCGTCGGTCACATCGTCGCTTAACATCAGGTGAGATTGTGGCCAAGCGTGTGTCTATTATATATTAAAAAAAAAAAAAAAAGCTCTGCCTTCATGGAATAATGGCATAAGTGAAATTACGTCAAACATGTTAATTGCTCCATTAGACACAGAAAAATATAACCCACATCCTCTCCAATTCTTGTAACTATATCTACAATATTAGTCGCTAGAGTTACAAGAATTGGAGAGGATGTGGGTTATATTTTTCTATATATATTGGAGCAATAAACGCTTTTGACGTAACTACACTTATGCTAATCTTCCATGACGGGTGCATTATGTTTTTTATATCATAATATTGGAAAAACTATTTTGCCAATAGAGCAACATCTTACGTTACATATGTAGTCATGGAAAGTATGATAATTTAAGTTCAATCCAATTTAGTGGCAGAGCAATAAAAGGCACAAAACACATTGGAACGGAAATTATTTTTTCCTGATCTTAAGTCGCGTATATTTACTAATGGGACTTGTAAAGAGCCCAAAGCGTTGGAATACGATTTTAGAACCGAAAAATAAGTTTCATTTTAATATTTTTATGTATTTCAGGTGCTGAGTATAACGTGACAGATTTTTATACGTACAATTCGTCATCTGACAACGGTTTTCCACATTCAACTTCTTGGGCAATGGGCAATCTCGGATTAGCTAGAATCAATTCACCTTTCGCGTTCCACAGCAACGATTACACTACATACTGCGATTACAAACCACAAATTGTGTCTGTGAATTTCTTGAACAAGTACGAAAGGCCAGGCATACAGGGCATTTTACTAGGTTGGGGGAATCGAAGGTTTTATAGACCCGTAAGTATGATTTTATTGGAGGACATGTTAAACACTCTTTTAGACAAGACATCTAGTGGCAGTAGAGCTCCTTGTGAAAAAGTTCGTCCAGGGAAGTACCTTATACTATTTCTGCCGCCAAGCAGTAATGTCAGCATTACTGTATTCCGGTTTTGAAGGGTAAGGATGCTGGTGAAATTGCAGGCACATGGGACTTGTCAACTGATATCTTAGGGTGTCGGGTCAGTGGCAGTGCCCCTTAGATCTTTGCGATTTAAAGCACTGAGTGGCACTGCAACTGTTATAGGCAGGCGTGTAGTTTACCATCAGGCGCATGAATTGTTCGTCCCGTCACTTGATATTATAAAACAAAAGTTCATTATAATTATTAAAACAAAGATTGAATACTAAGAAAAAATTCCTTCGATTTTATCATACTGTGTCTGCTAGCTCAGTTGGGAGAGCATCAGCCTCAATATGCCGAGGTCGCTAGTTCTAGTCCAGTCGCATCGAAGAAATATTTCTTATTATTATTTATATTATTTATTAATATCATTCAAAGAACAATGGTATTTTCTCTGTGAGAAATATCACTCAAAGAACAATGGCAAAATCTTTTCCTCTGTGAGAAATGTCACTCAAAAAACAATAGCAAAACCTTTTTCTCTGTGGGAAATGTCACTCAAAGAACAACGGTAAAATCTTTTTCTCTGTGAGAAATGTCACTCAAAGAACAATGGCAAAATTTTTTTCTCGGTGCGAAATGTGACTCAAAGAACAATGACAAAAATATAGTTAAAAAAGAACTGGTTAGAGTCTTCAAATGTCTTCATTACAAGTTAGAATAAAATAAATTCATTAGGTTTTCAAATTCTAATAGCGGTCTGGAAATAAAAAAAAACTGTAATGACTAAGTAGTATGAAACCGGACTGATACCTACAACTGTCAATTTCAGTTTTTTAACGTTGAGTGACATGCCGCCAAAAAAAAGAATTTCAGTGTATGCGTATGGATACGGTCCACACCCAAGGAGCACACTTTAGAAGCCTTAAAACTGTTGTATCTATAAACAGTCTTTATATGGTATACATTTAGATAATAGTTCTCTATAAATGGTTTTAGAAAAAAGAAATTGTTCTTATAGACTTATTTCACTCAAGTCAAAATTTTGACACCTTCTTAATACCAAACAACTTAATTAAGTGTAATCTCTCTTAAGATTTACTCTTATAGTCCTTATTTTAAGTTCATCTGTAGAACAACTAATTATTTTTAGTAAAATTGTTCTATACACATCCAGTAAAGCCCATTAATACTCTAAAAACTAGTGTTCTTAAGTTTATTCTAGATATATTTAATTTATAGACATTCTGTAATGTTTGTACTTATTGACAAATACGTTATAATGCGTCTTCAGTAGATTTTATTTAAAAAAATACTACAATTATGGTTTTTACTCTATTGGACGTTGTAAGAGTTCATACAAAATGGATAAAGTAAAGAATATTAAAAGATCTGGCGGAGGTGGTAAACCTTGGATATTAAGTCACATCATTCGATATAATCAGCGTTGCCAATGCCACTTGTTCAAAATCCCCAAAAATCACTATAATAATAATAACGTACACACTCAACATAGCCCCGCACTAGGGAAACCCTGTGTCGCGGGTGCCATGGACACACACGTAGACAACCACAAATTACATCCAAATTTACGAGAGAAATAAATGTAGGCCATACAAATATTTCTCCCGACCCGGGAATTGAAGCTGGGACCTCTGCATGGCAGTCCGGCATGGTAACCGTTCGGTCACGGAGTCAGTTGTATTAATTATAATATTAATTAGATTCAACATTAATCTGTAATCAGTCTGAACAAAAATTATTTTTCTTTGCCTTACAAAATTAAGTAAATTGATTATTTGTTGTGCATTTGGTGATAGTATGTTAATGTTAGAAATAATCAATGAGTTTCGACCTATATTTAATATTTAAAGTTGACGAGTGGTAAGTTGTGGTGTGTAAGTACTAACTGCTCGGCTTTGTTTATCAATAGCTGATTTCGTTTTGCTTCATACCGGGGACCGTCCTAAGCGGGAGAAAGAATCGCGAACTCAACATGCACCCACTGGTAATTTAATAATTCAGAACCAAGTGCTCTAATCATAATTCTATTTAAGCTGCTTGTTAATAATACGAGGGATGTGCGATGTTGAATAACACGTCGATATAGTCCATCACAGTGTTTCTAACAGTAATGATCAAACTAGCGATGCATCAGCAATTGATAGATTAAACAAAATGATAAAATGTTAGAATCCCCACATTTTCCTCACATAGCGCCAATCCCCACAAAATCCCCAATCTATTTGAAAGTCCCCACAAGTTGGGGAATTCCCTACAAATTGGCAACACTGGATACAATAGTCGTAATTCGCGCTCAGGCCGGTCATGGTCATTTGTTTGTTGACAAATAAATAAACATTGTGAAGTAATTCCGTGTTGCGAAATGATAAAAACAATTGAAATGAGCGCGTAAACTGCTGTACTTCAATGTTGTGTATGTGTATTGTGCCATCTATCAATAGAATACAGTGAAATCATTGTGTGAAATGTGGTTGGCGTGAAAAAATAACCTCAATTTTGTAATGAAAATTTTATTTCTTCCATCACAAGTTAGGTATATGTCATTAAAATATTCCTTATATTTAAATGATAGAACTAAAGGGGGGCGTTTAAATAAAAAGCACTTTAAAAAAGTTTGCTTTTTAATATAAGCACACAAGAAAGTTGTGCTCAGTTCAACACTCAACAACTACATTGTTTACGACATATTTAATCATCAAGTCCCGCCATCTATGTTTCCTAAACAAACCAATCGTCAATGAAATATCATAAACTATTGTTTTAAAATTGATGTCATAGACACAAAAAAGGACAAAAAAACGCAAAATTTTATAAATACAAATAAAATCTTATCATAAACCATTTTCGCTGTCAACGCAATGTTGCAAGTTGTTTTTTAACATCTATGGGCTTAAGCGTTTTTCTAAACAATTACTAAGTTGAAAAGCGTTCAAGTGAAAAGTGCTTTTATAAGTACCCTTATTTAAAAAGGTACTAAAGGTACGTTTTAAATTTGAAATTAATAAGGAATTTGAAATTAATAAAACCGGGACGCAGTAAGTAATGCTCACATTGTTGCTTGGCGGCAAAAATAGACAAGGGGCAGTACCTACTTCTCTGGAGGAAGTCTTTCACAAGGAACTCTACTGCTACTAAAAATCGCTTAATGTACATCATTACCGTCTGGTTATGTCTATGTGACATAACTTATAACAAATAACCTTAATATACAGGCTGTATATTTGAAAGTGAGACATATTCATACATGTCATAGTAAATCATGTTACACCTTAACATAGATAAAATAAAATTTGGTTATGGAATAGAACAAAAAATTAATCAACATATGTGTTTTGAAGTGTACATAGGAATAAACCGATTCCCTTTACGCTTGATTTCGAGTGCAATGGGAATAATACCAAGCGAGTGCCGAGTGAGACAGCAACAATAACAATGATTTCACATCTCCCGTCCTACTTAGAACCGACAAAGCACCTCATTTCTCTAGAAAATAAAAATCACAAACTAATAAGAGATATAAAAACTAAGTTACTTACCTACGCATGTTATGATGAAAAAGGCTGTTATCGAAATAATTGCGTTTCAGTTTATGCTAATTATTTTTTACTTCTGAACTATCGTCGAAATGTTTTACATGCTAAAAAAAGACAAGTTTATGACTTAGTAACTAGTTATAATTTAATAAGAATTGAGGTTTTTGGCGTAGTTAAAAATGTGAAATCAAATTATTTACACTGACTGATTTTTTAGTTATTTACAGCTTATTTACACTTACGCGATACGAAGCTGGTGTTCAAAATGTCCACCGTTTTCTACAATGCATAGTCTAGCACGTCGTAGTAAATTTTATTTTAAATTGTTCAACACAAACATATTTTGCATCACAGTATAAAATGCTGAGATAATCCTCTCATGCAACACTTCGACACTGTTCACCTTCTCCGCGTGAACTCCGATTTGGGCACAGTTCAATAGCTCACCTCACTCTATCACCAGTTCACACAATTGACTGAGATCATCTCAGTCAATTCGACGTTAGAATAAATATCCATTTTGCGCGGGCGAGGGCCTGTTCGCCGGGGTGCAGCCATCGGGCGAGCGGAAGTACAAATAATGTATGTGTCTTCGCTAGGCCAAGGTCGCGCGTGCACTGTCTCTCCAAACAGCAATTTCACAGATGCGCCCGCGCCCGCGCCCCCACCCCCGCTCGCTGTTGCATCGGAGCAATAATAGTGATGTGCATAGATTTCGATAACTAATGTCATTCACAAGTAGTAGTCGATAAAAAAAATTAAAAAAACATTTTTTTGTAACGTTTAAGTTCATTATTTTATTATTCTCTATAAGTATATCCCACTTTCAAATATTTAGCCTGTATATTTGTTTAATTTTTGTAACGTTTTAGAGAGGTGACTTAACAATATACAATGAAAAGGATCTCCGCTACACGTCCGTAGTAGTTGTGAATAAATCGCGTTGTGTAGAGAAGTATTCACATACTAAGTTGAATCTTACCGAAGACGAGACTTTATTGTGCATAGATGGGCAAGGTATTTTAAATGACTATGGGTTGCCTAACGATTATGACGACACTTGCTTTAATTGCGAAGAGACGGAAGTAAGTTATAAGAAAAAAATAATTCTATAGTTTCCCTCCATTTGTATTGTTGAATCGGCATATAGTAAGAAAAAGCACCAACGAATTTAAAGCGACTCTGGAAGAGAGGCGGTAAAAGCTGTTTACGTACGTTGAGGGAAACATCCTCATCCTATATAATATCATTTTCACCTCACTAGCTCGGAAAGGCTTTCTTTCTCATTAGAAATCTGCGAGCAAAAGCGTTTTTTCCACGCTAGCATGGAAAAGCTTTTTGAAATTCGATCTTGACGACGGATTGTGGTGCACCTAACCTTTTCTTTCGATGAAAAAAAAAACATAATGACACTTTCAAATGCGCGTTTTGTCCTTAGACTTCTTTTATTTTTTTTCCATCCTCTAAGCCTTAGACTATGGAAACCAAAAAACATGTTATATTGACATATATAAATCAGACGTTATATGTATATGATGCATTTAGACGTTGAAAACATAAGCATTTTATTGTCTTTGTTTAATTAACTACTGCGTGCCGTCGCAAGCCTAAAGAGATAGCATTACATTGATTTATGTAAAACACGAGAATCGAAAATACGTAACGTCATCTTAAATGCCAACTGTCCTCATTTTACCATTACCATTTTACCTTTGCCTATGCTGATGACAGCACAGTTGTAGATAGGTACTTGACCAATGCAAAGATCAGTGGAGAGGAAATCCAGTCTTGTCGCGAGTGCATGGTTAGCCGTTTAGATCTGACACTCCAGGAGTCTCTGATTGGGGCAATACCAATCTTGTGAAATTTAACGCTACCAAAATGCAGGCGTGTCTATTCTCCACAAAACGGAGTCCCTTTGAGCTGACTATGACTTTTCGTGATATATCCATACCGATACCCGATTGTCTTCAGCTACTTGGAATGGACCTGTCGGCCAATTTGAATTTCGGCAGATACATTGAATCCATGGCCAAAAATGCAGCAAGGAAGTTTGGGGTGAGGCGTTACTTTACACCGGGACAGTTGCTTCTGCTTGTACTAAGTACAAGTCCGATCGTACATGGAGTACTGCTGTCACCTTTGGGATGGCTATGCTACATATCAACTGGCCACTTTGGATTCAATTGACAACCGTGTCAAGAGGCTTATAGGTGACTCAGACTTAGTGGAGGCGAAGCTGCAGAGCCTTGAACACCGCCGTAAAGTTGCCTGCTTATCGGTATTCTAGAGGATATATCACGGAGAGCGTGCGATGGAATTACACGATTTAATTTCGCCTTCCCCTTTCCATCACCGGGGTACTAGGCGTAGGCTTGAGTTCCACCCCTATATTGTAGATATTCCAAAGATTCGTACGAAGCGATACGCTTCCACATTTATATGGCGAACGGCTATGGAGTGGAATATGGACGTTATAACTTGGGTCTTTTCAAGGCGAGAGTGAATAGGCATTATTTAGGTGTGCATGCTCCAAATCCGTCGACTTCATCATCACTTTCCATCAGGTGAGAAGGAGGTGAAATGCGCACGTATATTTTATAAAAAAAAACTATGATTCCGCTTGAAACGTGGGGGACAACGTATGACTGCGAACTCGAGGCATTTTTAAACATCTATTTTGAGCCGACCGTCGCATTAATCGGACAAATTTGTATCTAAAGCGACTCTCACAGCTCTGTACATAAGTTTAGTCAAATTGGTTCTAAGAAATAATATGTTACATTTTGAAGAATTTGGCTCTTTAGAACATCTTTTTTGGATGTAAGTTTAAGTGTAAATAGATAATACTATGACTGTGAAAAATATGTATTTGTATATTATTTTAAAGTATTTATTGATTTATTTTATAATTAAATAAAAAACAAAATTTGTGGAAATCACTGGTCAAACGAAATAAAGTAATTAGGAATAATGACTGACATTAATAATAACGTAGAAAAAAGTTTATAATTTTTCTTATCTTAGAGATTAAACTTGTTCTGACACGAGTCGTGCTCACAGAAGAGCCAATTTAAACTAACCAAAACTATCCACATTACTTTTAACTTTACAAACAGCTGGATGGGATGATAAGTATTGTAAGATAATCACGTCTGAGGAACCAGTGGTAATATCACAGAACAATAAAATATATACAGTAGAAGTCCTTAGTTTGAGTGACACGCGTGCCAACAGTTAGCGGAATTTTCGCGCAAATTTGAGCTCAGTCCGCCATTTTCGCTTTGTTATGTTGTTATGACGTTATGGTCGTGTCAAAAATCTCGAAAATCTTAGAAAAATGCCTTATTTCGCTACTTTGCTGTGTTACTTGTAATTATTCTCTATGGTGGGGTTTCGTACCATCAGCCTTATTTTATTTTTAACATTTTCAATTTTCTGCTCATCGTAATCATTTTTTGTTACAAGAAAAGAAAGTAAACCTTATACCGCTTAGCACACATCTAGAATTCGTCGTCGTTCAGCTATTAACCACTAGATGGCAGCACATAGATTGAAATTTCGTATAAAATCAAAACGTCGTAACTTGCAATAATAGATATTGGTGGTATTGAACTTTCAACGATATGCTAACAGGGTAAAATTTTAATTATATTAACAGTCCACAATTTGCTATATCTTTTAAACTTGAAACTTTGACCAATAGAAGATTTCATAGTGTTTCAAATTATGAATGTGTGAGTTTTAGAGACAACGGTTCTGATAGTAATCGATGCTTAAGGCACTTTCATTATTTTTTTTCTTCAGTGGGTAACAAGTCTTAAATTTCAGCCGCCGGATTCCGATCGGCGCCGATGGTACGCAGGACAGAACACGCGACCACGAATAACAACCTTGAATTGGTTAAACTCTTATGGTAATGGACCATGTCAGGTTAGAAACTATTGATGAGTCTCTTTTACACAGAACAGAACAAGCGGGAGTTGCCCTACTTGTTCTTATGGTCTTCTTATGCTCTTGTATCTATGGTCTCGTATCTTACTTTGTACGTTACACAATTTTATTAACGTAGATAAAGTGCATTATGCTAATTTGCTCTCCCTGTTTACTAATTAACAATTAGGACTTTAAAAAAAATTAGTACTTTTAATCATACAAATACTGGGTTAGACTATTTTTGGTTAGCTAAAAAAAAGCGTGTAGTTAGACTGGTGTTATCATAGTAACTTTTCATTTATTTAGCTCTAAAAGTTCCTATTTACGATAGATCTAAGTTTGGCTATGTCCTACATTGAAGAATTTTTTAGTTGAACTTTGCGAAAGATTGCCTGAGTTATTGATCATTGGATGGATGGATTTTTTATAGCTTTTGGAGTTCACCTTAAAGTAAGCATAGTTAAAATTCTCGAAGTTTCTGTACGATTTAGGTCTTCAATAAATTCAAGCCCTACGTTATTCAGAAAGATTGGTTTTATGCAGAAGAAACTAAAATGAACCATTTGATTTTGATTTAAGAATGATCAGGGTGGTCCTTTAGTGGTATGGATTGGTGGCCGGGAAACTGTCATTGGAGTGGCGTCCGCATTTATGGTCACGGCGAAGATGGAATGCAAGGGTCCTTTCATTTTTGCCAGTACTGCGTGCTCAAGTGAATTGATTTTTTGCATAATATCCTCTAAGCTGTAAGTTGATTTAAATTACTTTGATGACAATTTTGAACTATGTAGTTTGCATGTGACGTAATACACTGCGATTGATTGACTTCAATGGCCCAACGGTTTACCTGTGGATTCTGAGGAGGAGGTTCGATTCCCGGTAAGGTTAGTTACACATGGCGCCGCGGCGGCGGTGCCTGTATTTGCCGCCGCGAGGCCGTAAGAGTTGCGCCGTTATACCGCAGCACCAGTGGCGTGATCAACTGAAATCGTACATTAGTAGACAATTGCGGCAGTGCTCGCCGCCGTCGCCGTGGTTCCAAATTCCAAATTCCATTTATTTGCCACACCAACAAAAAAATTATAAAACATACTAATGAAAAATCTAACATATAAATAGTAACTAACACAAACACAAAACTATATTTATGGTCACAGATGTGGGGCGAGGAGTCCGAGCTCAGTATATGCTTTGCAAACTTGGTTTGCACAGCACTTATTTTTTGATTATTTGGTTTCAAGTAACGCCACCGTCGCGGTGCATGTATGAAAGTGTGTAAACAAATGCAAGGGCAACTATAATTGCGGCGATTACAGCGGCGACGCGGTGCCGCCGTTGCTACGGCGGCAGCGCCGTGTGTAGTCAACCTTAGAACAATTTGAGAAATTAAATATTCATAATTTGGTTTTAGTCTGGGTACTCACAGTACAGGGAATTACCTAGGTCGAAACTAGATAAAGAAAGGAACTAGAGGAAGAATTACTTAGATGGAAGAACCACGAAGCTACTCAATGTTAAACGAAAATTATATCTAACTCCGTTTTAAAGTAGGGTTTTGTTGAAAAGTAACTATTAATATCGCCTAGCCAGTGTTCAATTTAATTTTTTTTGTAATATCAAGTAACGGGACGAACAAGTCGTACGCCTGATGGTAAGCTACACGCCTGTCCGTAACAGATGCAGAGCCACTCAAAGTTTGAAATCGCAAAGATCTGAGGGGCACTGCCACTGCGCCCGTCACCCCGACACATAAGTTGACAAGTCCCATGTGCCTGTAACATCACCAGCACCCTTACCCTTCAAAATCGGAACACAGTAACGCTGATATTACTGCTTGGCGGAAGAAGTAGGTAAGGTGGCAGTATTTCCCTGGACGAACTCTTTCACAAGGAGCTCTACTGCTGCTAAAAAAATCGAACCAGCAAAACTTCCACAAAGTTCGTCTATTCCCTTATTACCTTTACATTTATATTGTTTTCAGTCGGCGCAGTGCAGAGTATTGTGAAAGCGTGGCTCAAAGATCAGGCGTTAGAATATACCAAACTTACATGGATTGGAATACCACAAGGTAGGTTTACATTTTTCGTCACACTTGCTTGTAAACTGTGTCACAACATGCAGGCAAAGTCGACCGTAATGTCCTAAATTATGCCTACGGTCATTTTCATTACGTTATCACCTTATGGATTTTTTACGTCAAGATTAAGCAAAAAGTTTTTATGTTCAAAAAATCTAAATGACGCTTAAATTTGAAGTATAAAAAAAACTAAGCGTTTGCAATTTTGCTAAATTTATTTTGTGAATTCAAATTGCAGTGTTTTTTTAATTTGGAAATGATTTATTTTATAGGCTGTTGCTATTGTGGCTGCATGCGTCTGTGCCTTCTATAACATTTTAGTTCGTGTTGATCTATGGAAGAATTGCTGAAAATCTGTTTCAAAAAAACAAAATCTCCACCATTTGCAAAATTCGTAAATGTTGTATTGTGGAGCGATATTTATTTATACAATAAATAAATTATCGTTGTATTCATTTTCTCACAAATGAAAAACATTGTACGTAGCGCGGGCGGTACAAATTACAAACTTTGAGTCATTAAAGCCCTCAGTCTTCGGTTTCGGAATTCTATCAAACTCTCGTTGGTAATTTCTTATTTACATCCCAGAAATGGAGACGAAATAAGGGCCATCCATCCCTGGCAAGTCATAAGGCCTTATATCACTTTTAAATATCAATTCACGTTTGGGATGAAATCACAAATTACAAAGCTGAAATGTTACAGCGCCAACAACTGACCTTTTTGTACGTCTCCGTATATTCCAAAAATATTTTGTATTTATTGTAATAAAGATAACATCTCTAACAATGGGGGGCTGTTCCATATAGGTGGTGTGGGAAAAAGAGCAAAACATTTTATTACAAAACGAACGGAATCACATTTTGTCGGTAATTAAATATTAAATATGTAATTTTAAAATGTCGGTCCATTATAACAAAGCTCAAGTTAAATTGGTCGATTTGAAGTGAAACAATTGACGACACCCGTCAATTGTTTCGAATTCGGACTGTCTAATTGGAGCGCATTTGTCACTGTAATGATGTGGCAGAATAGTTTTCAAACAAATTAAATGACATTTGGTCTCTATTTCTGGTTATGTACTCGATGTATTCTTGTATGTTTAGTTTTACCAACAATGTTATCAGTTAAAAACGTCACTGAGTGTTAATTTTGGTCAGTGCGATCAGATTCGTTAAGACTGATGGACAGACACCGAAGTAGTCTTTTTTAAACGGCCTCGTATTTGCCTCTACGTTTATCTGGGCTACGTAAAGTTTCAGCGGGCGTCATTTACGTAGCTTCTTCATTAACATTACAAAAATTCGTCATTATATGTGTGGTCATAATCATAGATATAGAAAAAAAGGGGCGTGGTTCGTGTCGCCTCGATATGATGAAAATGATCATATCGAGGTGACACGCCTACAAACGTCGCCTTAGTGACATGGCGATCGTTGTACATACAAGTTCTCTCGTAAAACGTGAAAATGCCAAGTTGTAGCGATAGACCGTGTAACTAATTGAGTGAAAACAAAAATTTTTAAACCAGGAGATAACATTCTACCAGGTATTTGCATTTTTAGTTACGTTTTCTATTATTATTCAATGTTTTCTTTTTGTCTCCTTAGAAATTTCTAGACTCAAATATAGTAGTGATGTTCATTTACGATGACTGATGTTTATCGACAATAAATTTTTACCGATATGTTTGAATTTCTTACTATGATTTTTGTAATTAAAGTCCCTAAAATATCGAAGCGAAAAGCATTCACGTTAAATTTAAATTATTACTAAACATTTTATTTCGAGTAACTTTAACACAACTCATATTTCGGACAACCGTTTCAATTTCATGTCAATTTTTATGTTGCTGTTGCTTGAAGAAAAATTTATGTGTATTATTGTTTTAGATAATTTAGATATTTAAATTCCATTATACTCGTAGATTAAACGTAGAGTATTTTTAATTCGAAATTAAATGAGTTCAAAATAAGAGACGATTGGATTGAAGCTGCCGGAAAATCGAAATATTGGTTTTCTTATTACTATTTCTGACTTTGTTTAAATTTCCATAGCAAATGCATTTAAAAACTAAATAAAATAAAATTGGCTTTATTTTACATGTGCATGCAAAATAAATTAGGAACAATTACAAAAAATTACATAAATCTTTCATAAAAAACAACATAATTTAATTTATTAAATTCGTTGGTCCGAATTTACGCTTGACAATGACAGCTTCACCAGCCCGTGGTAACGTATAATGGAAAACTGACACTGGCGACGATAGCCATTTTTTTATATTATTCTTATAAAACTGACACTGGCCCAAGCCTAGTGGCCGCCATTAAGAAAATTATAATAATTTATATTAATATATTAATTTAATAATACACCAGTACCAGTGTGGGTATAGTATGAAAAATGGAATATTTTTTTAATATTAAAAACAGCCACATGGTTTCTGACTATCGATTAGGTAGGACCACATCCCTCGTTGAGTAGCGTCAGTTTAAGATTAATAAGGTTAACAATTCACGGAGCGGCTTCCATCCGCGCCCGCCGGTGCTGCGGGACAGCGGTTTTATTTCAATACTCACGACCCTGCAAGTTTTGTGCGGGCACGTAGCCGCCGCGATTGCGAGCACGAAACCGTTGCGATTGCGGAGCGGACCGTGAAGTTAGTGGGAGTTAATCGCAAGTTGCGCGGTTAATAGAGAACTTATCCCGCGTGCGCCTGAACCGGCCGCCAAAGTGCGCGGGCGACTACGGCCGCCAAGCGCACAGGTGATCGCGTCCTGCGCGGTTCTACTAGTACCCCGCCGCGGTAACCGCGAGCAACCGTCACCACTACAGGCGTAAAATTAGTAAATTTTAAATTTTACATACTTAACTATCACATTCTACAGATGCCGCGGCAGGTGTGGGTGAAAACCGCTCCGTGAGTTCTTAGTGTACCGAAAAATGAGTTTCAGCGCCATCTAACGTGTAATAGTTAACTATTATATACTAGTAACATTTTTACTAAAACCCCTGATGAACGCCACCTGATGGTGATTGGCTGAACCAGGATGAAAAAAATACTGACATATTGTAATATAACTCTTACTCAAGTAACTGTAAGTTTAATTTTGTTAAATTTTAAAATTGTGTTACGTCGTTTTCACGTTTTAAGCCCTACCCAATCAAAATCTTTTAGTTATGGTAGTAGATAATAGAGCGTAAAGTTTGAATTGCACACAAGCTAAAAAATGGCGACATCGGTACCCGATATTACATAGCGTCATTACATATCTCCCCTTTTTTCTATATCTATGATCATAATTCATACTAGGAAATGAAGCTATTTTTCCGGATTTAAATCGTCATATACTTTCAAGTGTAAGTGCAAGGAATGGCTGCTTAATCTACACAAGACATCATACTGTTGGTCGAAGGTGATGTAGGCTCTGTTACGTCATTGAAAATAATAAAAGTAGGATTATAATTGGAATTAAAGGTGTACTAACTCTATGTTTTTTCCAAATTCCATTCTCTGCTTGTTGTATTCTATGTACACAGTGCAATACTCTTTGCTGCTAAGTGCAGTATGTTTGGTGGTCGGTACGTATATCATTTTAAGTTTTAAGGTTTGTTATTTATGTAGTAAACGTATATAGTGAGTGAGATACCCTCCTATTTATTTATTTATTTATATATGTATTCGAAAAGATACCCGTCTCTATATGCTACGGTGTCTCCAGCGACTTGCCAGGTGAAGCCTGAAAACCAGCAAATTGCTAAGGCTTTTTCCTTTTCTTCGACATAGATTTAAGCATTGTTTTATCTTAAATATTGTTGTGTTTTCTGTTGAAGAATAAAGCCTTTTTATTTTTATTTTTATTTATATTTGTTTTTTTATGAGGTGTCATACCATCGAGTATATAACCCTTCGACTATTTTTTTTCCATCCTCTAAGATATAACCAGAAATAGAGACGAAATGTCATTTAATTTGTTTGAAAACTATTTTGCCATGGCATTACTGTGACAACTTGCATTGGCTATCCCGAATTCGAAACAATTGACGGGTGTCGTCAGTGTGTGTCGTCAATTGTTTTACTTCAAATTGACCAGTTAGCTTGAGCTTTGCTGTACTGGACGAAAATTGCAAAATTACATATTTAATGTTTAATAGCCGATGAAATTTGATTCCGTTTGTTTTGTAATTAGATGTTTTGTTATTTTTCCCCACACCACCGAATGGAACAGCACGCCATTGTTAGAGATTATTATTTTTTATTGCAATACATACATAATATTTTTGGAATATAAGGAGACGTGTAAACGAGAGTTGATATTTATAAGTGATGTATCACTGATGAATTACCAAGAATGTATGGCCCTTATTTCGTCTGTGTTTTTGGTTATATACTCGATGTCTCATATAAACACGTTGGTGTCCATCGTACTGTCTTAATATAACATCCACAAAATAAATATGTGCGTGAAAACTCGTTGAATTTTATCAATATGTTAACGCGGCAGCGCTGAGAGCGCCCCGCATCTAATCTCCTGCTTCGCCTGCCCCGCGCCCTCGCCTCGCGGGTAGCCCGCCACGTCGAATGACTGCCCATCTCGCCTCTGGACTCCTGACGTTCCTGTATCCAGTCCTTGGACGCCACTCAGTTATCGCCTTACTCCATCTGACATCTTGTCTCCGTATCAGGTGCCCTGCCAGCTCCGCTTTAGCTTCATAATACGATTCAACACGTCCTTTACCTTTGGTCGACTTCGAATCTGGACATTAGGAACACGGTCGGTAAAAGTAATAAATCGTCGCCTTACCTACTTAACCTTGTATCTTATTCAGGAGATGGTAAAGTATCAATTTATTTTAAATTTCTTATCAAGGGTGTTAATTTGAATGTACTACTTTAAGAATATAAAAATAGAAAAAGAAAAAGAAGAAAAAGGTAAAAGTCAGTGTGTGAATATGAAGGAAATGTGATGTCAAATAAACCTGCGAAATTTGTAAATACAATCCATTTTTAGCGTTTCAGTAACTTTGTGCTTTAAGATACGAGTTTGAGAAAATAAGGCGACGAAATGCGTACTAAATTCCAAGTCGTTGTTACTTTCTTCACCGGTCCTTTACGTTGTTGCTACTTCTCTATTTAGAAGCAGTAGGCGGCGACTACAGAAAGTACTTGGAAATCGCACTGTGAAGCGGTTGTTGGTTTTTTTAGATCTATATAGCAAAAAATGGTACCATATTCTGATATTTAATTTTACGGTAAACGATGTCATTGTCCATAAACGGGTTAAGCAACTTTGTCTTTTATGGCCCTAATAAAGTGAACTTGTTTGTTTCAGTTTGAATGAAACAGGAAAGAAAGCCATTAAACACGGTCCAGCGACATATTATGGATATTACAGAACGAATAACAAACCTCATGTAACTACAACTACGTCAAAAATGTACAAATTAATTTTATACAACAATATTTAACAATAATATTTTATGCAACAATAGACACAACTTTAGTCAAAAGTAAAAATTCCATTACGAAAGGAAATTTACTTGCTATATTGGTGTAACAGCGACAGAAGATATTTTTGTGAAATGAACAATTTGAAACCATGATATTGCTATTTGCAATTTGCAATATCATGGTTGGGAAGTGAAGAACCATACTTCATTTTTATCTTGTATCTTCTAGTGATGCCTCATTGAACCCTTTGCTAGATAGAAGTATTGTCAAAAAACAGAAAGATCTGGCTGAACAATCTCATGTATTTTGCGACATGCCAGTATCCGTGGCTTTGGGATTGTAAACTTTAAATCTATGAGACAGAGACTACATATTCATATCATATCATTCATTAACAGCTGAAAGATTCTTCTTGTTATGAAATTACAAAACACTGTATTGAATCATGGAGTGTTTTGGTTTGACACGATAGAAAGTCGTTTTTTATTGTTAAAATTTGAGCCGCGACAAATGTTAGTAGACCCCCGCTCATGTGCTACTGATCATTCCCAGGCCAATTACCCAATAATAATATTATTTTCCAGCCAACCACAAGCTGTAGCTTGAGACCACAGAATTGTTGAGGTTGTACACATGACCTTGAACCATAGAAACTTGATCTTTTTTGACCTTCACTGGATTACATCCCATCTGATCAAAAAGCGAAAAGGAGTCCCTGTTTTATGAGAGCGATGGAATTAACTCTGGAGCGCGAACTAGAACCAATTTAGAAAAGTTCTGTGTTCCTAAATACCCTATCGAGAATCGAACTCGAATCGAAAAAAGAAAAAAAAGGCGTCATCTAGTGCCAATAGTGCCAACCGCCAGGTCACAAAACATGTCAAACGTAGATAAATAGTCGTAATGTGAAAGTGGATTGAGTAAATGCTCATTACTTAGTAATAAGCTTATTATTTATTTGTTACATTTAGGACACAAACGGGGACAAAGCGGACGAGATACGTGACCCTACATGAAGCTTCGCAGATGAGAGCTGAAACTCTCCCTGAGACTCAACCTGGGCGTAGTCGGTAAGTGGGTTACTGAGCCGTTGTCGTCCACAGACATTTCAATATTTACCACTAATTTCTACATGGTCATTTGTCCGGAGTTATTCTATTATAGTATAACAATTATGCGCATAAATTCGCATAACAATTATACGGGATTTATTATTTTCGCGCAAAATTATACGTCACAATTGTTGAGCCAGATGATACAGCTGTCTGTTTTTGCATGTAAGAGATTTTTTATCATTGGCATGTATTTTAATTTTAAACAAATTGTTGAGATATTGTGCTGTATTCTATTGTTTGTTTTGTACATCCAGGAGTAGCATTTATTTAGTAGCAGAAGAGATCCTTGTGAAAGAGTTCGTCCAGGAATGTACTGCAACCTTACCTATTTTTGCCGCCAAGCAGTAATGTCAGCATTACTGTGTTCCAGTTGTGAAGGGTAAGGGGTGCTGGTGAAATTACAGGCACATGGGACTTGTCAATTTATGTCTCAGAGTGACGGGCACAGTGGGAGTACCTCTCAGATCTTTGAGATTTAAAGCTCTTAGCGGCACTGCAACTGTTATGGACAGGCGTGTAGCTTACCATCAGGCGCACGACTTGTTCGTCCCGTCATTTAGTATCATAAAAAGAAGCAACTTTGATTACGATCGTCGTGTCACAGAACTTCGTAGATGACTGATTAAACTTCACGTAAACAAGCCATCAAAGCCACCCCTTCTGTGACCTCACCCAGTTTAAGCTGTCAAACTGACAAGATGTTGTAAACAAAAAATCATTTTGATCGAGATTAGTTACATAGATATCTAATAAATTATTTATCTAATGATTAGGTAACAACACGATATACATGTATTAGCTAAGATGTATCCTTCTGTAAAGCATATTATGTACACAATAAATCGAATTCTGTAACATTAAGTTTCAAGTGATAACTGTCTCCGAGATAACATTATGTCTGAAATTACATATGTACGCCTAATATCAATGTCTAACGTCAAGTATTTTGACAACGTTTAGTAATAATAATCTCTCTTGGTGTGTAGGTGTGCTTTGTGAATGTGTATATGTGTCTTATTAATATGCGTGGCTTTGCTGGGAGACGCTGGTTCGAATCCAACCGAATCGAGGTGAATTTTGTGGTGGAAGTTTCGTTCGTTATTCGTTATTTGTTTATAACACTGGTGGAGTAATGTCACAAAAAAAAAATTGAATATCATAGCAGTGAAACATCATAACATTCAATAAAACTTAATTACAATTATTAAAGTGACATCTCTAGTCAGCGGCTGGTAGCTGTAAAGGTACCTCTCTGAGTGAAGAAAAACTTTCATAGATTTCTCACAGGTGGCGCTACTGCAACAAACACATGGCAAAATTCGCGAGATTCGTTAATCCGTTCCGTGGCTTAGTTGGCATAGCATCAGGCACGGTTTTCTGGGAGACGCTGATTCAAATCCAACTAGATCAAAGCAATTATTTTCTAAATGCTCGATCTTTGTTTAATAATTATAACAAACTAGTGGAGTAATTTCACAAAAATGTTATTGACTATCATGACGGTGAAATATTCTGATATTCAACAAAACTTAATTATATACAAATAAGCCAAATTAAGTAAAGCTATTTAGAATTTTTTTATTAATATTGCATACGTGCTTTTATGACGTAACTGCTGCAACCTGTTTCTTATTATTTTTTCAGCTCTGCGGAAGGCATTGACAAAACAAATGATTACACATTTGATGAATACAGGTAAGAAGTTTTTGTGTTAAAAAAGTTTAAGAGTTAAAAAGAAAGTGAATTAATTTAAATTTGAATTATAACCATGCACGATATTTTTCAGTGAAAATGTATACACGTCTTCTAATCCTTACGATACTAACAGTGGCGACTATTGGTAATTTTTTGTTATTTTTCCTTGTAGGTATATATAGTTTTACTTTAGTAATTATCATTTGCTAAAACGGTAAAAGAAAACATTTTGTTGAAACTAAACGTGATGGTAACGTTTACCTTTACAAAATTCTTAAAGATTTGAAGTCCACAACTCCCTGTGGCCTATAAACATCTCTAAGACCCTTGCATAGTCTAATTCCTGAAAGCCAGAAACTTCTTTGCATCTCGATGCGTAGTTTATATTATCCCTATCACAGATAATAATATAATAATATACTAAAACCAGACAGATACCCAATCTCATACAAATATTTTATCTGTAAGTCAATGCATACAAAGGAATGTCGCACACGTAGGTAACTCCGCTTATTCGAACACTTATTTTTATTCTTAATACTGAACAATAGATGGTACGAAATAAACCCGCGTTGCGATTATAAAAGTATACGGTCTACAGATGGCAGCAATTACATTTTTGTGAAGGTTGTTGTTCTTATTCAAGCATTGATTATATATTTGATAACAGATTTCGAAAATATATTCAAAGAAATGCCATCTATGTAATTTATTGCAAACTAACATAGTACTGAGAAACCTTCGGTTTTGTTGTCTTTTCAACGACAGTTTTCATCAATTTTCATAATTGTAAATGAATTTTAAACATTCCTTAAATATTGTTTAAATAATTTTGCATTCCTTTTTTTATATTTTATACTTGTTATTATGACATACCCCAAATTTTCGAGATTCAATATTTTTTTATATTACCTAAATGTTGCCATCTACAGTTTTAAACACGTTCTAAAGTTAATTTGTATGACTTGATACTCCATGTCTTTATCCTATCCACCTCACACAATTGATATTTCATCAATGTATATCTTCTACTCTATTTTATACATTATAATTTGCAATACTTATATTTATAGGGCTACCGATCAGCAGGGTACACAAGATCCCAATGACTTGAACTATTACGGGTAAGGATCATTGATTGATTGGCTTCCTTGTTGTCAATTAAGTATATGATTTAGTTTGATATTGTTTCTTTTGTAATTTTTAGCGAAGAAGTTAAAATCAATGGGACAAATCAAGAAGTAGTCGGGTAATACAGAGTTGATGGTTATAATACTTAGGTTTTAAAAAAGTTCTGTTTTAAAACGTGGAACGTAATGAAATGCAATATCGATAAGATCATTGCTGATATCTGTATTGTATCTCCGTCACAATGCATGACCGCCCAGATACCATGCCTTCATGTACATTAATGGCGAATGTCAATTCTATTTACTAGGCAACAACATTTATAAAATCTTCTGAATTATACAACCGCCCGGCCGACACGCGGGCCGCCGCGTAGACAATTAAATCCAGTCTCACTCGCGCGCCGGTACGCTCATTTACGTTAAAACGTAAAAACTAAATAAATAGAGCGTATTTTGCCATGACAGTTAGACGAACGCGGTCGCTACGCGGCGCCAACGTGGACTCCGCTCGGGAATCGCGCGGCGGCCGCGCGGAGTGAAAGCGATAAAATTCATGTCGAATAAAAGCATTCTAATGGTTTAACCTATCGCTTCTGAGGTCATGGATTCGATTCCAGTCACGCACTTCTGAGTTTTTCGAAATTTATGTGCGAAATTTACTTTCCAATTTACCATGGGCTTGTCGAAGAAGGTTCACAACCCTTTGAAAACGTGTGAAGTCCCCATCCCGCATTGGGCCAGTGTGGCGGACTATGGCGTAAATCCGCGCCTGAGAAGACTCCCGTGCCCAGCAGTGGAACGTATAAATGGGTTGATGTTGTTGTTGTTGGTATATAATGTAACAATAATAATGTACTAGACAAACGCACTTATTGCCTGGTCTCAACCCAGGGAATCGTCTAAATAATGATTACCAGAGCAATCAAATTAAGTAAAGGGATAATCCCAGAACATCCAGAACAAAACCAATTTTTAAATTGTCCTAAATTGGACGTAGTTAAGCAAAAAGGATCTAATCTATAAAATTATAAAAAAATGAGTTATATGTACCAAACGGTTCCTAAAGTCTTACCTCTTAGATAAAAAAAAAATCAACATATAAACATAAATAAATATCTCTGGAGTTACATGACATTATAAGTTTTGAAAATAAAACAAGAGTGACAATCACTTTAAAACTTCAAATTGCCATATCTCAAAAGTGACTGGATGTACAATTGGAACCTTTTTGTTTAACTATGACCAATTGACCCTATCGAGATTAAAACCTTAAATATCTAATTGCTGTGTGTTAAGCCACTGAGGTAATCAAATATTGTAATGATAACGAAACGACCTTACTTGATCATTTCAATATAGATGCTGTATACTTATGTTCTATGTTGTAGACGTAGTGGAGATTACAGAAAACGGCAATCCAATAACCAACAAGAAAGGCAAGATAAGAAACAAACTACGACAAATTCAAAACCTTCCAATTTTACAAGCAGTTATAATGCAACGAGTGACAGAACAACAAATAACATTACAACGAGTGTAACGCAATCGCATTCTAACACAAGTTATGTTCAATTTGACGACAAAATAAAACACATATGAAATACATTGAAAATTTTAATAGGAAACAAGTTGTTCGTTTTGAAATTAATAATAACATTATTGAGTTTTGGCCTGAACTAGACGTCCTTTATAACTATCCTTTATAACTATAATATAAATGAATCTACTAGAGAGACAATCCCTTTCCTTTCTGAATGAATCGGCTCAAGAAAGTAACACCTGGCGAGCTCTGACCCGTAGTTTGATAAAGGCGAGGCGACGTTATCTCTCTTTTTAACCTTTTCTTTATTTGTTAGATTTATAAAGAACCTTTTCAACAATATGTTTTTGTCATTTATTTTGATGTTACAATATGTTTTATTTGGTATCGCCTATATAAGCTCCAAACTTACTGACCTGCGACGCAGAGGTCTCGGATCCGATTCCCGGGCTTGTCTATGTGTGTGGCACCCGCAACACACGCGTTATTGTTATTGTAAAAAAGTCATTAGCCACATCGTATCAAAGAAATGTTCTGTTCTTGAAACTCCTTCCTTCTAGTATAGTTAAAAAACATCAGCTGTTCCATGGTACTTACATGTCACAGTTATAAAATTTAAATGTATGATTTTTTTTATTACGCAGTTTTAACAATGACCTACACTAATTTATCTGGCCTCAAAGGGGATTTCCATTACTTAATTTTCCAAGAGGTAGTAGTCTCTAGTAAACGTTCTTTCGTATGATCTACGGGAAATACCTTTGATGAATTTCAGTTCACAAATATTATTATGTAATATTTTATTTTAATTTTTATTATGAACAATACAAGCGTATAATATTATCCCTTCAAACTAAACATTTGCGCTGCTTATTTTTAGTAACATATACATTTTTTATTTTTTGTCTGTCTGAGTCGTCTTCTGGTATATAAATATGAATGTTTCTTGAATTATTTTTACATAACTTTAAGGATTTGTACCTTACTTTTTCTTTTCCATTTCATTCGGGAATATATTTGCATACTATACAAAGGAACATTAAATTGAAATAGTTACACGTTGCAGTGCATTTAAACATTTTCATGCAGGAGTTATTTGTCAAAGCGATTGAGGTTCCTACTTTTCGTTTTAAACCGAAGACGTTAAGTCCTATTTACACTTTGCTTGTTACCAGTAGTTTGCCGAGTATTGAGTTCCAAAGTTTTAAAAATAGCAATAATAAGTACAGCATGTTAAAACAAAACGGAAGGGAGCAAAAATTAAGGTATAAATTGGGTGCAATCAACTTAAGAGCGATGTCAATAACTTTTCCTAGAAAACGCCTAATAATACATTCATCCTCGATATTAATTGAGAAACAGTTTCATACTTATTTTTCTGACTATTTCTATGCATTTATATAACCTTTGGAAACCAATGAACCACACACAATACAATAAACTTGATATTGGGTCCAGTAAAGTGCCTTGTGAGACGCCTTTGTGAAGTAACGGCAAAAGATATTTCCAAGTCGTGTTGTTTCTTTTATAAAATATAACTATTAGATTAATTAAAAATAGCAGGCTACTATGATCGGACAAACGAAATATGATATCGGAATAGTATTTGTGTCTTATTATATACAAAAATCAATAAATTTTATAATACTATTATAATTAATTGCATAGTATTCCCATCAATATACAGTCAAACGCGCTCTATGACGGAAATTGGTGACAGACGGAGCATTTACGAAACTAAATTATGATTTTATTTATTTATTTATTTGTTTATTTATTATATTACATATTGCTTACAAATTAATATCCAAACACAATAGTAATTCTTAAGCTAATATCATATATTGAAATAATAATGTAATCATATTTAATAAAGAATTGATACAAAATAAATTTAATGAAAATATACAAATCATTGAATATTATATATTGCATAAAACAAACTGAATAAAAAATTAGATAAAAATAACAAATCATGGAATTGGACATATCGCAAGTACATTATTAACAATCAAATTTTAAAACATTGACATAGTATTAATTATTCGGGATGCACAATACTTATGTGATGCTACTGTCCATGGTCAATGACTCGAGATATCGTCTCGCGGAAACCGTAAAATGGGCTTCGAAGCATACAAAGAGGTCCAAAGAGGAGTCAAAGATCCGATTGAAATACTTAAGCGCGCGGGGCAAAGAAGCCAGATCACTTGCCCTAGAACGTGCAGAAGGTATGCAAATAGCCTTCTTCTGTGAGGCCGCACCAGGCTGGTCCTAGGCACCTAAAAGCCCATCATGGATAGCATGAATGGATTGTACAAGATTCCACGCACCAAGCGAAATATGTAGGTCATAAGAGCTAGATTGCGTTTTACTTCCAGCGTTCTGTAGCCGACCATACCCAAAATAAAAGTAGTGGGGTAAAGTGATTCGTAATATAGCAAATGCATTCGTCAATCATAAAAGATCTGAAGTCCATGTGCCTGTGATTGGCCTGGCCTAGTGAGAGCCTGTCCCACTTTAGTTGAAATAGACAGAACGAGGTCGGGTTTCATCAAGTAATTAGATTAAAAACGTTTGTTGATTCAAATGAAACATTTATATCTAATTATGAATACCGCAAAAACTTTACTACGAAATAATTAGCATCCATGACGAACTCCTCGTCTCTTGAGCAGCTTAAAATGAAAACGAATAACAAATTTACTGTTTGCTTTCAACTCACCGAATTTTCAAAACAAAATGTATGTAATCGTGCACAAAATGTTTGCATATAAAGATGGTCTACTGCAACTAATCTTTTTTACCATGTTCTGCAGTTAGTGCAATGCTAATTGGGAAAACAAATTGGCCATGTTGTACTGAAGCCTGGTTCGCTTTTCGAACGTACATTTCATTTACTTTGTTACTTTTTAGTGTGGTAAAACTATGTCAAAATAGTAGATCAAGTACTAGAAATGAATAGTCCAAAGTAAAGTACCTGTTAGGGTTGGACCTCACTGACAGAGCACTTCAGCACCGCATTTATACTAAGCATGTATTTTCACCGAGTATCTTGCTTATTTATAAATCAGGTATTGCTTATTTTATTACATTTCTAAACCAAACCAAACAATGTTTTAGGAAATGAAACTATTTTTCCGGATTTGTTTTTCAAACAAATCGTCGTTTCGGGCCCTTTACAGGTCCCATGGTCACGATTGACTGTCAACGTCGGTTTGTTTGGAAAAACAAACATACGCGATTTAAATCCGGAAAAATAGTTTCATTTCCTATGTGTAACAATCGCGAAAACCCAAGAACTCGATACAAACAATGTTTTGTTTACGATTTTCAGCCTAGAACCATTTACAGTTTTTAAGTCATCTTTCTACGGTCGACAAAAGAAATCAATTTATCTTTGTGAGTACCATGGTAGGCCTTCAGCCTTAAAATCACCGTAAGAAAAATGGTATAGAAAGCGTTTTTGATCGCTTACCAAACGCTTACCATTCACTTTGTAGTGCGGAGTCCAAAAAACTCTACTGAATTCAAGTACATATTTCGCATGTATAATTTGATGGGTAGACGACATCGTCAAAGTTGCGTGCCGTAGATGGATGAGACTAGCACACGAGTTGCAGTTGGGCTGAGGATTATGATGATGTTGTATAATGTAATATTATGTTAATTACCAACACACATAAATTGCTGCAGTCACCAAACCTATGTCCTCTTCCTATATTCAGGCACGTCTTGGTGCAAGTAATCACTACAAATAATTTTGCCAGCTACAATAAAATCCATTATCTACCATAGTTAAACTGACTGCCTTATATTTATCATCTAAATAAAGTCCAGTGATGTACTGCCACCTTTCTTGCGTGGAGGGTAAGCGTACTATTAAAATTACAGGCACATGGGATTTGTCAATTTATGTCTGAGAGTGAGCAGCGGCCATGGATAGGTGTGTCGTTTAACGTTAGGCGCACGACTTGTTCGTCCCGTCACTTGGTATAAAATTTCCGCTACAATAATACCATGACTTGTATACTTATATACGTTTTTATAGCATGGTATGAACAATGCCTGAAATGAAATGTTTTGATGTTGTTTTTGTGTCTGTAGCGTACTTGGATTTTAATCTGTTATGTTGCATAAATAAATAACATATTCGAAAGTTTCCAAGGTAGGTAGTGAGATTAGTCACCAATAGAAGGCAATGGGAGGATTTGGAAAGTTCACATGTATTTACACCTCAGAACGATCATGGTATTCGGTCACAAAGGGCACACAATAAACTGGCATGGGTACAAAAATGCAGCATTTTCATTAGCCAATCGCGGAGGAGGTAGTGTTGTATGAGTTCGCATTTCGACACAATGTAAAATTTAACACAAGGATGTACTGTTTATAAAAGTATGTACTAGGACACTAACTGTATTACAGATACAAAATTCTGTATGTGAGTGTAATTGAATTCAGTTGGTAAAAGTTTTACGGCTAAAGCGAATATGGTGAGCGTTTTTTGGAGCTATATTAACTTTTCAATCATAAACACACCTCCTTATATAATACTGTAAAATAAATACTGCCTCCGTGGCCGAACGGTTACCATGCCGGACTGCCACGCAGAGGTCCCAGGTTCGATTCCCGGACCGGGCGAAATATTTGTATGACCTACATTTATTTCTCTCGTGAGTTTGGGTGTAATTTGTGGTTGTCTATGTGTGTGCCCATGGCACCCGCGACACAGGGTTTCCCTAGTGCGGGGCTATGTTGACTGTGTGCGTTTTGCGTGTGCGTTAAATATAGGAGTGTTGTATACTTGACGAGGTTTATTGATAATTCCTTAGAATAATGGGGAATGGTATCAAGTAAAGACGTACGTACTAGCTAATGGTTTATTCAGCTGTCCGTAATAGCAAGTGCTTCTTAAAATTCAACCTTAATCTTAAGGTTTATCGTATTGGGTTGGCCAGGAATCTCGCGCGGTATCAAAGTATAAATTAAAAACATTTCTTATAACAACTTTCAGGTTTGACGACCTCCGACTATTACGGGTGACTACAAGTGGATTGTATACCGATTGGTT